AAGTCGGGGCAAAATATTGCTATTGTACGACAAATAACTTCGTCAGTGGATGTTCTGGCAGATGGCTGGGACAATCTTGATGAAAATTTACAGAAAAGATGATCACCGTGCAGCTGTAGTTGTGCGTGCACATTTTCAATTTCAAAATGGCCTCCATTGCCATGGAAAAGTACGAAAAGTGAAGAATTTTGTTTGCGAGTGTTCTCGTATATGGCTTACAAAATCTTAATGAAACTTTTCAAATAAAAATCACCACCCCTAGTTGTGCATTCAATATTTTTAATTTTCAAAATTTGTCGCTGAAGCAATGGAAAGAACAAATGATTCAAGAAGAGTTGCTGTCAAGTGACCATTTTATATTATCAGAAGTTTCCTTTTAGAAATCACCTGTCCGCTTTTCCTTCGCCTTTTTGTTATGTGATATTTTTATGTAATAATTACAGGGCGAATAGTTTATCTACACACTAAATAAAAATATTTGAACATTATTTCTGATTTTGTTTTTTAAATATCAATTATTCACTTTATGTTTATATCTCTATTTCGGGATTGTCAAGTTACAGTAACTGAACTACGGTAAAACAAATAGAATTTTAGCTTAGCTACAAATTATTCCCTTTTCTATCATATATGTACGTCGGAACTGTAAAATTTTTAAAATGATTTTTGCTTTATTTTCACGTGCAATTTTCATAGAAATTCTTTTTAAAAAATAGTGTAAAGTTAAGAATGTTTATTTGCATATTTATTTTCAACCCCCTCCCCTCCTCCAGCTTAAAAGCGACGTAGAATAATTTTCTTAATCAGAAATCGGACCTCAGATTGAAATAAAATTTCAAAGTACTCTACTAAAGAGCCCCTTTACACGGGTGTTATTTTTCCGTTTCTCTTTATTAATTAAAGTCATTTACGTCTTTTAGAGTATGTTTTTATACCGTTTGCTTTATTTCATAGTTTTTTGTTTTTTGTTTTTTTTTTTTTTAATTTTCTTATATACCTATGTAAAACTTTGATCGCCCACTGTGACCCCACCTTACCCCCAGGGGTCATGATTTGAACAATTATTGGTCATTTTTAGTGCTTTATATAAATTTCCATCCGTGACCTTGTATCTACTTAGTAGATCCGACACTTAGGATATACAGTGTTGTTGGTTTTTAGTGCTTTATATATATATATATATATATATATATATATATATATATATATATATATATATATATATATATATATATATATATATTTTAGGAATGACTCTAATTCTTGGCCAAATTATTCGCGTATAACCTGGTTTGGGTCAGTTTACGCTTTATAATCCGCGAAGCGGATTATAAAACAGCGTAAACTGACCCAAACCAGGTTATACGCGAATAATTTGGCCAAGAATTAGAGTCATTCCTTATAATTTAATTTTAAAATCATCAAATAACTATGGGTGTAAAATTTCGTTGCTTTTTATTAGTTCAAATTTGCCGCTCAATAATACAACCGTAGTAACGGAAGTACCGGAAGTGATGGGAAGCGAGGGGAGGTAAAAACTGATACATAGGCCTAGCAGCCTTGTTGTTTGTTTACACGTGGTAAGATCGAATTATTGTTTGGTACATTCATTAAATCTGGAATTTTCCATGAATCCCGAGGACTGGAAATGAGAGGATTGTATGGATACAGATGATTCAGCTGGTTGTCAGGGGGGGGGGGTGTCCCCATACCAAACCAGGTTATACAGAAATAATTTGTGTTCCTTTTTGGATATTAACCAATCAGAGGTTAGAATACAAACAAAATTAAATTTTATATATATATATATATATATATATATATATATATATATATATATATATATATATATATAGTCAGCATATATATATATGAATCAATGCTTACTAGAAATACCCCCGCTCTAATGTGAATATACACTCTCATGGCATGCCTAAACAAAGAGCGTGCTAAAATTTCATGCATCTGCTTGCTTGAGTTGTTGATGAGAAAACTGTGATGGAAATTTGGTATGGACAGATGCATAGATAAACAGGAAATTGACATCGGATCCGAAAAAATGAATCCCACCATATGACATACCTAAACAAAGAGTGTGCTAAAATTTCAAGCATCAGCTGCAATGAGTAGTTGCTGAGAAAACAGCGACGAAAATTTGGTACGGACAAATGCACGGATAAACAGGAAGTTGACATCCGATTTGTACAAAAATGAATCCCACCATATGGCATGCCTACACAAAGAGTGTGCTAAAATTTCAAGCATCAGCAATGATTAGTTGCTGAGAAAACAGCGACGAAAATTTGGTACAGACAGATGCTCGGATAAACAGGAAGTTGACATCTGATTTGTACAAAAATGAATCCCACCATATGGCATGCCTACACAAAGTGTGCCAAAATTTCAAGCATCAGCAATGAGTAATTGCTGAGAAAACAGTGACGAAAATTTGGTAAGGACAAATGCACGGATAAACAGGAAGTTGACATCCGATTGTACAAAAAAATAAATCACACCATATGGCTTAACTAGGCAAAGAGTGTGCTTAAATTTCAAGCATCAGCAATGAGTAGTTGCTGAGAAAACAGCGACAAAAATTTGGTGTGGACAGATGCTCGGATAAACAGGAAGTTGACATCTGATTTGTACAAAAATGAATCCCACCATATGGCATACCTAGGCAAAGAGTATGCTAAAATTTCAAGCATCTGTGATGAGTACATGTAGTTGCTGAGAAAACTGCAACGAAAATTTGTTACGGACAGACACATGGACATATAGACAGACAGACAGACATACAAGGCTAAAACAGTATACCCCCTCTTCTTCGGAGCAGGGGTATAAATATTCTGCCCAAGTGAAATTATTTTCACCGCCCAAATGAAATGTAAAGTTTTGTCGGCATACAACAATTTCTCATTCAATAGGAAAATATTTTAAAAGAGTTTTTAAAGTAGAAAAGTAACTAATCAGAAGAATTAAGGCAGTATATATTTTCGAACATCTTAACTCAGTCTGGAAAAATTTGCATACCCTAAAACATAAACCATAATTTTATTTTATTATTATAATCTGCTGATAATGTAAATTTTTTTCAGAGCAAATGTGCCAGAAAACTGTAAAAAACTTACTGGAAGATCATGACTCTATGTTTTCCCTTTGCAGAAAATATAATTTTGCGAAATATTTAGTGGTCTAATCAAGAACTGATAATGTTTGAGATTTGATCACGAGTTTGGTTTTAGTAGAAATATTCCAATTCGTTTTGTTTACAGATTGTTGCTTTTATTTAGCGATGGTAATTTTTAATCGGTTAACCAGTTACTCTGTCGGAACGATGGTAATCGGTTAGAAAATCTGTAGTCGGAAAAAATTAATATTTGATTGTGGCGACACTGCAGAATGATTCTGAGGGACATCTCTACTGATTTTTTTCTGTAAATTAATGTACATCTATCTAAATCTTTAGGCATGGTTCATGGGTTTCTTAATTTTTTCTGTCTCTCTTTTTGTCTTTGTTTTTTTTTCCATTGCCAATTGAAAATGAAATAATATATCTATAGTACTATGATCAAAGATTAAAACAATATTACTACATGGATACGATTTACCGATTAATCAGTCGAAACTTATTGCGGTTAACCAATTGACAATTCTATATTCGATTGCCATCCCTACTTTTATTCATACTATATGCTTTGGTGATATGACATACTGTTATTCATTGTAGACGAAGCAGACGTATATCGCACTGTTTTATTAGCTATACATATAGAGTAACGGGTTACATAACAATTGTCTGTTCATCAGTGATTTGTATGACTGTATAGTAACAGGTTTCATAACCATTGTCTGTTCATCATTGATTTGTATGACTGTATAGTAACAGGTTTCATAACCATTGTCTGTTCATCATTGATTTGTATGACTGTATAGTAACAGGTTTCATAACCATTGTCTGTTCATCATTGATTTGTATGACTGTATAGTAACAGGTCACATAACGATTGTCTGTTCATCATTGATTTGTATGACTGTATAGTAACAGGTCACATAACGATTGTCTGTTCATCATTGATTTCTATGACTGTATAGTTAAATTAACTACTGTGAAATTATTAGTTTTCATGGGGATCTAATTTTCGTTGATTTTGAGGTATGCAGAGACCCACGAATTTATGTCCACCACAAAATGTATTTTTTTCACAATTTTCACATATATTACTACTTAACTTTTCTTCATCCACGAAATCGAATCCCTCCTAACCCATATTTTTTCCTCAAATCACGAAAATTTGCCCCCACGAAAATATGTGATTTTGCAATATTTTTTGCAGGAAATAAATAAATGGTCATTAAAAGCACACATTATTGTAAATTTTGCAACTTTTTCCAACATCATTGAGATCATATAGATACTACAAAGTAAATTCATTTTATCAGGCAGAGTCTTTACATATTCTGCTCCATGGGTAGAATTACATCTCAAATGAAACATTTTTGAGCTCTGAGTGAGGCTATATTTTAAATTAAGAAATATGAATGAAAGATACATGTAGTATTTTGCATCTTTTCAGTAGATTTTGAAAAGTTCTTTTCCTAATTTGTTTTTTCTATTGCTTATAATAATTTGATTTTTCGATATGTGCATGACATTCTTCATTATTGTATGTCATGGCAACTATGCATTTGAGTCATTTCATTTCAATGTTCTGAATATCATAGATGTATCCTCCTAATGACTGATAAAAAATTTTATGATGAACTACATTAAGTTTTTTTGATTGTTGCTGAACTCGCCAGAAAAATAGTGTTAGATTACAGTACACATGTACGAAAGAAAATTTACATAGAGCAAATTCTTCAGAGATTTATGTTTGTAATTATGACTTGGACTTTCAGAAAGGGGCAATAAAACTGCACATTTGATTTTCCTCCACAGAAACTGTCTTGCAATACTTGATTTTCTAAAGAAATATGCACCACTCGAAATACCACCATATACTTGTAGTTTCCTGTTTATTTTCAATTTTTAACAAGATTTTTTTTCTTTGTCCAAGATATTTTCATCTTTAATTTGCTCATTATGGCAAGATATTGTTTTAAATAAATACAATGCTAGTTGTAGAAAAAATTCCACATATAAATTTTGTGTGATGGCAAAGTTATACATATTAAACAAACTTACAGTCAATGAGAAAGTATTAACTTTTCATTTCAAGGATTTCTTGTGAATGACAGCTAAAAATAATGGGAAAAGGATGGAAAATACCAAAAACAATCAAGTTTTTAATTAAAGTCTAAAACTTAACAAATTGAGATTTCCTTGGTACATTGCATATCAAAATGTAGATTTCTGAGCAATCACTAATATTGTATACTCAAGAATATTCAAAAACAAAACTTTGAATCTAAGAACAAAATTTACCAACGGATAACATGCATGATTCCAACAGTATCTGTTGCCACGGCAACCACTGGTCTACTCCCATCATCCCCTATTGCTATGGCATTCACATGTTCAGAGTTCAGATGAATCACAGTAGATTTGCTTAGATCTAATTTTAGTAGACTTTCTTCTGTGGGAACATGATATACATGAATGACACCTACAAAAAATTGTAAGACAAAACATAACGATTTTAAAATATGATGTACTACATTGCTCATTGTTATTCTTCAATAATACAGCTGCAATAACTTTACTGCATTTTAAACATTTAATAATTGAAGCTTTGTTTTATCAGCATCTGCATGTATTCACTGACAAGATTGATAAAAAAAACAAGATATATTTGTGATACACTGATGCCCACATAAGAAAGCTCATTGCCAACTGAAGGTAAAAGTTTCTCAAATGCAAGTCACACTCCAGGGTCAAGAGGTCAAAAATGTTGATACCCAAAGAATGGTCTTGTCACAAGGAATATATTTGTGAATTATGAAAGCCCTTACACCAACCATTCAGAAATTATGGTCAAGGTTTTAGTTTTTTCAAAAGTAGGTTAAACTACAAGGTCAAGGTCATGAGGTCAAAAATGTTGGTATGCAAGGAAAGGTTTTGTCACAAGGAATACTCAGGTGAAATATGAAAGACCTAGTTTCAACAGTTCAAATGCTATGACCAAGGTTAATGTTTTTCAAAAGTAGGTCAAACTCCAAGGTCAAAGTCAAAAGGTAAAAAAATGTTGGTGTCTAAGAGAAAGTCTTTTCACAAGAAATATGCAGGTGAAATATGAAAGCCCTAACGCCAGTTGTTTAAGAGATATGGCCAATGTTATAGGTTGGTAAAATTTTTGCAAAAGTGGGTGGAACTCCAGGATCAAGGTCCAGAGGTCAAATATATTGATACCAAAAGAAAGGTCTTGTCACTAGGAATACACATGTGAAATATGAAAGCACTAGCTCTAACTAATCAAAAGTTATGGGCAAGTTTAAAGTTTTTGTGGACAAATAGACAGACTGTAAACTATAAACCCCTGAATCTTCTAAAACAGGGGTGAAAAAGAATTATGATCGCAAATTTTTTCCTGTCTTATCTTAGGTGGCACATTTTTAAACTTCATCACAAATATATGTTTGTTACAAAGAATACAATAGTGTTTGCAGATGAAGTTTTCAAGTTTTCTCTTTACAATTCATGAATCTAATAACAAATTCAACCACTGTGATTTCTGGATGTGCATTGTTATTTCAATAAATAATTTTTCTTACAATTTCAAGATAAATGTTCTCTAAAGAATATTCAATAAATTTGAAAAATTTGCTTAAGGAACATAATTACTGTAAACCAAGCAGCTTTTATTCACATGCAAGAAATATCTGCAAATTTTTCAGCCCTGTTTTATTGATGAATATTTCTCGCCGCAAACTATTTTTTTTTTTCATTATGTATTTATGTAGAATATTTCCTCTGTTGCCAAAATTAGTTTTAGTGGATAGATTTCAAACTGACAAATCAGAAATAAAAGTTATTGCAAATGATAGTTGGTTTACAGTACATGATGATAATAAAATCTTATAGTGTGGACAACCTACAACAGTACACACAATATAGGGTGTACAGGAATGTTTTAGCAAATACACTTCTAAACTAAGTCTTCACAGAATCTATCAGACATGAGTTTACACCAGCTGTCTACACTTACCATATTTTGTTCCAATCACTAGTATTGATGCATGCCATGCTATGCATTCCACATGGCAACCAAAGGCTTTGTGGGCATCTAGTTTACGAAATGTAGCAAAGTTAGCTGATACATGGATGTTTGAATCATCTGAAATACAAATATCAGTCTTTATTTGAATTCTGTACATTTGAAAATCATTTCACTATATCAAATATTCTAATAAATTATTTCAATCCATAACTAGAATGTAGAGTGAATGCATGTTTACTGTAAATGAAATGAAATCTAGCAATACATGTATGTTTACTCCTTTATATTACTGAAATTGAAATATTCAGCATCTGTAATATACAGACTGAGGTAATTATTATGTATCAGTTTGTGGTCATCTGGTTTTCAAACATTATCTATTGACCAATGTCAGAGGTAGGAATAGGATATTTATTATGTCTATTGCTTCTCAAAAATAAACAGAACCATACTATATTTTATGTTTTCCCAAATTTCATAGGAAATGTAACCTAATTTCCTCTTGTATAATTTTGAAGCAATCTATATGTACAAACCTCCCGTTTTTTTTTACATTGTGACGTCACACGTCTATACTGAAACAGCCTGAACTGTCAAGGATGACAAAACAGAAGAATAACGATCCACAGAATTTATGGACTATTATATTAATCATAAAAAACAATTATTTAATTTACTTACTAAATCTTAAGTCAGAAAAAGCCTAAGAGACAACGTTTTACTCCAATAGATAAATTTACATGCTTGATTGTTCTGATGATGACCGTCTCTGGTCGAAACCGGTCAACAAAATAAATTCACTGCTGCATTCTCACGAAGTGTTGGTGATCTGTTTTATATCTTCAAGTTTACAACTTTAGGTACAGACCCTATTGAATACCTTTCGGTATCCGCACGTGAGAATCTTCCGCAATTAATTTTTAACCTCAAGGTGTTGGTCTCCAGTTTTTCTTTGTTTTGTAAAAATAAACAGAGATAACAAATAATCAGACAAACAGACTTGGTTAAATCAGTACACACCAACCCTTAACACCTGTGTTGGCGGGGGGTATACATGTACCTATGAAGTGAACAGGTGAATGCAAAATGAATATGAGAGTTTAATACTGTGTAGCCTTGGTATTTTAAACAATGCTAAAATTTCAAGATACATTCATAATTTTAAAGATACTGTTAACCTATTACATTTGGCTGGGTATTTTATTTAGCACCTCTGGCTGAAAGCAGATTCCACTAAATCTAGTATACATCGCTAAATGTCCTATACTTATATCTAGCACATTTAGAAATGCACTAAATCAAATCTTCACTAACTTATCAAATCTTTTTCCATTAAATACAATTATAAATTATAGCTTTATAAAATTTATCTAAAGAACATAATATCAATGCTCTATTTTCACAGACTTTTTCATGTCAGATTATCCTATTCCCCCATCATTCATGTGTCAAATCTTTTGAATTGCTAATTCAACAATGTTAAAAAGACCTTAATTCCATCAGTTAGAAACTCAAAGTAATACCAGTTAAACACAGAATTGTTCTTCCTTTGATGATCAACCATCGGACACTGGAGCCCAAATTATCCAACATCGTTACAGAAGAACTACTGGTGATGAAGAAAACTTCCCCTGAATTCTTTCCAAATACAATCTACAAGGAGAAGAAATATTTCGTATAAGCATTTAAACATTTTTAAAAACTAATGATAGCATTCACTATGGGTTTAATTTCGCGGAAAAATGATGAATCGCGAACATAGTGAAATTAAAACCATCAAGATTATTTGCCAATCTACAGTATGTGAAAAGTTTACAGACAAACACTAGACAAAATGTGATCAGAAAAGCTCATTTGAGCCTTTGGCTCAGGTGAGCTAGGACAATTTAACTTAATCAGTCATAAGGAAATGTAGGTCAAATCCAGCATCTGAAGCATGTCTGGTAGTGTACATCCCTTGATACATCATCTCTGCAAGTTTAGTTACCAAAGAGCTAATAATTACTTGGGATTGGACCAGCTCTAAAAACTTAATTCTGCTCCAAAAGCTTTAATTTGGTAATTCTTTGACTGAAAATACAGCATCTGAAACCTGATTGGTTCAATGCATAATCAGTGCATCTCTGATCAATATAGGGCTAAGGAGTACTCAGAAAGAAATCTGCATCAAAAACTTTAACCTGAGAAGCTGAGACTTATGCCAAGGGTATAAAATAAGTTCCTCCAGCTTTATTGAGGTGAGCTAAAAATGTGAAAAATTTACAGACAACAACAGACAATAAATGACAGATCAGGGCTTTCGATTGTCTATAATTGGGGCCGTTGAAAGGCCCCATTCCCAATTCAAAAAAGGTACCTTTTTTCCCAATTGAATGTGTTGATTTTCCCAATTGTGATTACCATCCAAAAATTGGAATACATGATAACTAAATTAAAGGATATATATTTAGATATATGATACCTAAACTTACTACTTATGTTCTTGTGTATTGCAAACGAAAAATAAAGTTGATAACAAAACAGTTTAAAATCAGAAACCCCAAATGTAATGAGTTTTAATGCAAAATTATTTTCCCCATTGTTCTCTGAATGTCTCTAATTTTCCCAATTTGAATGGCCCTGGCCCTAGTCCCAAAAAGTGGTATGACAGCCCTGCAGATGGATGAACACTGGACTCAGCTCACTTGAGCCTTTAGCTGAGATGAGCTGAAAACCAAACATCAACAGTACCAATTTGTAAAAAAAAAAATTCAGCATATTTGGATTACAGGTCATTTATCACAAAACATATTGTATGACTAGTAGTTAACTTCAATTTAAACTCCAAAAGGTTGAAGTTTTTTTTTATACTATGGACAGAGTTTTTTTTCAGCCTGAAATACCAGGTTTTTTCACCATATTACACTTGCAAACAATTTTGTTCCCTTTTAAATTTGCCCATACAGAGTTGTGTTAAAGAGATAGTCTGTTTAGTTTGAATTCTCCTTGTTTTAAATCTGCCCACTTGCAATGAGGGAAAAGGGGATAAATAAAACAGGGGTGGGGGGGTGGGTGAATTTCACAGTACATATTTATATATTTATATACAGTTGAACTTCGCTATCTCAAACACTGATATCTCGAATACCATGTATATGTTGAAGTGATTTGGAAGTCCCAACCTCTTATTCTTTAAGTATTTTACCCTGGGTATCTCGAATCGTCGGATATCGAGAATTTTTTTCTCAGTCCCATCAAGTTAGAGATAATGAGGTTTGACTATATAATAGTTCTTCAAATTAATATTCAATTTGATACCTTTCCTTTGCTGGCTGCTGCAGCTGTGATATTGCCATCCAGCAAATCATCACAGACACTAATCCGTTTTGTGGTTTCTTCTGCGTGGTGGATGTAACCACCAGAGTACCACTCAAAGGAAGACAAATGGCCACCAGGTATGGAGCAAAACTCATGGGGACTGAAACAAAATAGGCCCCAATTCCATACTGATCACATGAATAACACTTTTTTCTTCAAAGTAAGTTAGTGTAATCCTTCTTTCATAACCATGACCCTCATAAGGCCAGTAATTTTATGTTGCTATGAGATGAGAGTCATTGGTTTGAGTTGACCAAATTCCCTTCATAATTCAAAACCCTCTGAAATAAACAGTTTTGCCAAGTGACGTATTTATAATTTGTTTTTTTTTACAAACAAAAGTTTTTACTCTTAATTAAGCATGAAAATGCACCCCCTTTTTTTTTATTTGTTGAAACAAAGTCAAATTCTCAATTGGTGGTAGTATCTGAAAATTTCTTCTTTTTTTGAATTACATGTAGGTGGACTGCCCTCCCATCCCAATAGAATCTGAGAGTTTACACTAAATACCTTTGAATCTACCTAAGCTTTTTTCAAGACAAGCTCAATTTTTGTTTCTAGAAATATTTTTATTAATCTAATGAGTATATATATAATTTTCAGACTAAATCCATGACCTAGCATCATCTAAAATAGCTTGAACCCCTCTAGGGCTTGAGTAAACAGTACCAAATCTGGACAAAAAGTACTGAATTTAGAATATATCTTAAAACCACCTTACTTTTCACATGGTTTCCTAGAAATTTCTTGTTGCCATTGCCAAAGTGCTGCATTGTCTTTTGATTTCTTATCTTCATTTCTGCAAAGTTTCACCTTATCTTTGTACACCACCATAAGTGTCTCAGTCTTTTTACTCACACCCTGAAGCTGAGAGGTCATACTTCCTACAAAGTTCATAAAGATAACACCACTTCCAATATCCATAGACTAAAAGTATGACCTAAAGCAAATACATTACTTGTGTATTTCATCTAAATATGAGGAAGTGAGGTTAGCTATATCTATATGTATGGACATTTAATACACCTTTTGTGTTTCCAACTATTAGTATGTCATCAATAGTACTCTGATATTATAGAGTAGTACATGTATAACTAAATCATTATCAAACGCAAAATGAATACTGTAATCCAACTATTATTTGCGTCATCTTTTATTCGTGATTCATAAGTTTGAAATCAATCTGCGACGATTAATTTTCGAGGCTGAGGAAACATTCTCTATAAATACAAAGCAAAATAAAAGGTTGGCGGCAATCAATATTCGTGTGTTAAAGAAGGACATTAAACTCGCGAATATTTCTCACACGCCAATATAGGTTGGTTTACAGTACTGATGCTTTGACTGAGGAGGGGGGCATTAAAACACAAGTACTGTAATAGCTGGAGGGACACTCAAACACAAATACTGTAATAGATGGAGGGACACTCAAACACAAATACTATAATAGCTGAGGCCATCATTAAAAATATCTTTGTTTCCCCTAACCTGACCCTCAAATCACAAGTTGGGTAGGTAGGTAGGTAAATAATTTTTTTTTTAGATAGCAGCTTTGAAAATACCTTCCAAAATTTAATGGAATAATACCTTTATAAATAAGAACAGTACAAAAGAAAGCGATTTGTAAACAGATTATCACACAAATGCCGTTGGAAAGCTATGTTTAAGGTAAATTAAATTCACAGGTATTTTTCAATTGAACTTGTAAAATATCTCAGGCCAGTGTAAATTTATTGAAATCGAATATTTAAAAAGACGATTCTCAGATAAGCAAAGGCAGGGCATTCGAGTATTTTTCAAATCTACTATCCGCTTCCAGTGCTTAATGCAATGTACTTTTTCAATATTTAATTGAACCAAACCATATCTAAAAATGCCATATACAATGTCATAGTCATGAAGTTTAACCCATGAATAAAAGGCATGAAGAAAGGACGTCTGAATTATATTCATCAGGATGAAATATGCAGACATATCACAAGTGAACTCCTATGGAACATAGATGAACTGTATATTAGATCAAAACTCATATTAAATAAAACGCAATGAAATTGATTGATGTAGGATTCGAGTAAGCTAAAGGCATAAGGTTGATACATCGCCGTTGTTTTATAACACCGTATATAGTATTCCTCTGTGACCACATGATATGGGCACCAATTTTGTTTCCAGCAAACGCTTGAAAATCACAGTAAAGCAAACACTTGAAAATCACAGTAAAACAATATCGACCTTTCTGATATAAACGGATTTTGATCAAATTGTATTTTATAAAAATCAATAATCATAAAAAAAATGTTTGAATAATCTTACTAAAAAAAACTTTTCAGTCAGCGCGATCAGGTCGGTCGTGTTAGGGGAAACAAAGGTATTTTTTTATTTTGGCCTGAAGGGACACTCAAACACAAATACTGTAATAGCTGTAATAGCTGGAGGGACACTCAAACACAAATAATGTAATAGATGGAGGGACACTCAAATACAAATATGTAATAGCTAGAGGGACACTCAAACACAAATAATGTAATAGATGGAGGGACACTCAAACACAAATAATGTAATAGATGGAATGACACTCAAACCAGATACTGTAATAGCTAGAGGGACACTCAAACACAAATACTGTAATAGCTGGAGGGACACTCAAACACAAATACATAATAGCTAGAGGGACACTCAAACACAAATAATGTAATAGATGGAATGACACTCAAACCAGATACTGTAATAGCTAGAGGGACACTCAAACACAAATACTGTAATAGATGGAGGGACACTCAAACACAAATAATGTAATAGATGGAATGACACTCAAACCAGACACTGTAATAGCTAGAGGGACACTCAAACACAAATACTGTAATAGCTGGAGGGACACTCAAACACAAATACATAATAGCTAGAGGGACACTCAAACACAAATAATGTAATAGATGAAATGACACTCAAACCAAATACTGTAATAGCTAGAGGGACACTCAAACACAAATACTGTAATAGCTGGAGGGACACTCAAACCAAATACTGTAATTATAGATGGAATGACACTCAAACCAAATACTGTAATAGCTGGAGGGTCACACTCAAACACAAATACTGTAATAGCTGAAGGGACACTCAAACCAAATACTGTAAAAGCGTAAGGGATACTCAAACACAAAATGCTTTAATAGCTTGAGGTTGAATGTTTGAGTTAAACTAGTCTATTGTAATGCATTATTACACGCAACAAGTGTACTTGAATTGGATGAGCAATTCATTTTTTGCTTGGATTAACTTCTCCATGAACAAAATAATTTATATAGTCAATCCTGTATTAAGAAAATTACTATCTTCCAAATTGTTATTTGCGACCGTTAATGCTGATTTAACGGTCGCAAACTTCAAGTTTTACTGGCGAAACCTCAGCAGAGCCGGTTAAATGGATGTTTGCGACTGTTAAATCAGCATTAACGGTTGCAAATAACAATTGAGAAGATAGTTAATCCCATTCTAATGCAATTCATGCAATTTGTTTGATGTTAATACCTTTATTTTTGTTGCGTTTTGTTATATATGAAATATGTCATGAAGGGTTGTGTTTTTGCGTCATTCTATTACAACGTCACAATCAAAAGCCTTCATTCCCTTTAATACTCATTTAACTGCTTCAAACATCAGCTTATCAGCCAATCAAAATGTGTTTTACAAAACAATTGCATTTATTTAGAATAAGTTATCAAACATATATACTGTGAAATCACTCATTTTCATTGGGGTTTCATATTTGTTGTTTTCCAGGTATGAGGAGACCAACTTTACATCCACCATGAAATGTAAAATGTCATATTATACATAACTCTTAACAATTCTTCATCCATGAAATCAAATCCCAACAAACCCATAGTTTTTGATTTGATTTTACAGTAGTGTCACATTTATGCACATGTAAATCATATGAGTGCAAGTAGACAACAATAAGACACACATTTTAAAGAAATTTACAGCTTTACTCAAACTAAATAAATGAATGTCTCATATGATTTCAGTTGAATTTGAGTAACATTAGAAAAATATCTTCAATCATATAATATACAAACCTTTTGGGTTACAGTAAATTGCCTGCACTGGAGAGTAAACTAAATCTATTACTTTTGTGCTCTTTTGACAAGTGTCTAAATTCTTCCAAAGACAAACACCCCCATTTTCAAAACCACTATACAAAACCAAATCTGGAAATACAAAATTATTTCATTCCCTAATACAAATATGAATAATTAGGGTTCATATTCATAAACCATATGCTTACTTAAACAAAATGTAGCTTTAACTTTTACAATTTTCCTAAAGAAATGTACTTCATAAGTAAAACATGAACAATTCTATCATAGCTTGTGGGGCAAAATTAAACAAATCTAGAAAGGAATAATAGGCATTTATGTCATTAAGAGTTATCTCTCTTATCAGAGTATCAATGAACCTTAAATTAACAGCTCCAGTACAACCAGTACATTTAGCAAAGTAGCTTCATTTAGCTACTAAATCATACTTATTTCATTAACAGTTAATTCTTTCCAATCTTTTTTAGCCGGGCTCATTGCTCATAGAGCAATAGCCGGCTTTTGTTATGGTGTTCAACCGAATATGCTGCTTCCTCACTGCCAAATCAAATATAGTATGTATGCTCAGTTGCTTTTGAGACAATACAAACACTAAATTAAACAAAGTAAACTGAGGAATTTTCTAAACAAATAAACATTAATGGTAATGAACTTTCTCTCATGTTCTTTGAAATTTTTTGTTTAAAATATGCAAAAGCTTGACAGGTTGTTTTATCAGGCTAATATACTAATTTAATGCATGGAGCACGTTGACCTGATGTATACCTCCCTGCTGCAAAACTTCCCACTGAGGACTCATCTGTGCACAAACATTTGACCTTGCTACATCAATGTTTATTTACATCTGTAAGTGCTGTATGTGGTATAAGACCCCAGAACAATACATGTCATAAATTTTTTAAACTGTTAAATTCTATACATTTTATTCAATTTTTTGACATTTTTTACACTATAATTAGCCACAGAGATATCCTTTTTGTGTTACATATTCTTTCAGTTTCTGAACTCCTTGTTATTTATCTGTTATTACAATGTACATTTCATAAATTGGTCTTCATTCAATACTTCTGAGTACTTTAATTTTCTACTCAATTTACATGCTAATTAAGAAACTGTTTTTAGTGAAACATGACACAAAACAATTCGGGATTTGTTTCCTTAATTCAATCAAAATATATTGTAAATAAAAAAAAACGTAGGTATGAGTATCATGAAGGAGGCATATTGTTTTACCCCTAAAAAGATCTTCACATCCTTACCATTAAATGCCAGTGCTGTCACTTGACCAAAGTCTGGGTTATATTTCACATTTGTCATGACATAGAGATCCTGTTTCACATGACTTGCTCTTACATATTCTTTAAATATTTCCTTCCAGAATATCCATCCCATCTTAGAGAGCATGTGATAAAAAATATCTCCTTTACTTGTTTCCACCAAATCATGGTAAAGTTTCGAGATATCAATCAAAATCCACTTAGGGATTTCTAGGAGGCAGAAATCCAGCCATACGTTTCCCATCTGTTCCATCTTAGAAATGATTTCTTTCCAACGAATACACACCTTCTTGTTAAGCATGAAGCTTCTCGCATCCATATGCTTGAAAATATTCTCCAGTACTTCATTTGGAAAGTTTGTTCCCATTTCTCTTTTTCATTATTTCAAACATACATTTAAAATAATCACGATTACTGGGCAATATATACTGTTGTAAAAATTCTGGAGCATATTTCTGGCTTTCCAATATGCCTACTTAATATCAGATATCGTCTTCATCCTTAAATAATGGTAAAACTGTACAAAATTGCAGAACTTTGGCGGGGTTTCTGTGAAAATGAAAGTAGGCTTTCTACCTCCTCAAACAGAAGAGCTCAAATATTTTGTCCATTAGGCCTACGATGAATGGTATGTTTAAAAGTAAAATGTGTAAAATTATATTATCTTTGATAATAAAAGAACGTTGTCAATTGATCTTTTATTATTATTTTGTCTTTTTTGATTTCTTCTTTTATTCGAAAAGATGGAGACATTCATCTTTTACATTGAACGTCAAGTGCAGCACCACTGCAGAGTAATGTAACGTTCCATACTTAACAGGTCTAGGCAGTAGCACAGTCTCTTGATTTAACTATAGCTTGGAATAGCTATATAGCTTATTAAGCTATCCAAAATAGCTTGATAAAGCTATTATATATAGTTTTACACAAAAATGTTTTGTTGTAAGAAATAGACGAAAAGTTGCAAGTATTTGATATTCATATATATGTACTCATAATGGGCTATAAAAAGCAACCCAAATCAAAGATAGTTCTTACATTGCAGCTTTTGAATACTTGTAAAGCAAGAGATGAATTTCCATTATTTGAGTAACTGTACATTACCTTGTGTGCGGTGAGGCATGGATAAGTAGGATTGCTTCTTGTTGTGCTGAATTATTACCAATCAATTACCTTGTTGATCATAACTGACTTTCTTTCAGAATTATCTGTATGGTCACAAATTGCTTTATATATTGAATAGCATTATAAAGCTCTACAGCTAATTCAAGCTATATAGCTAAATCAATTAAGAGATTGTGCTGGACCTGCTAACTACATTTTAAAGATCTAGCTGTTGACAACATTCTCATATATCACATAAATTGATAAAGGTTCTATTATTTTTTTTCTAAAAGTATGATAGTTTTAGAAAAAGTTACTCAGATGTACAGTTGAACTTAAGGTTCGGTATCTCGAATACCATGGACATGGATACCATGGATATGGATATGATTTTGAAGTCCCAGGTGCTTATTTCTTAAGTATTTTACCCTGGATATCTCAAATCCTTGGATATCTCGAAGTATTTTCTTGGTCCCGTGAAGTTCGGGATAACAAGGTTTGACTGTATATATGGCATTTTTTTTCATATTTCAAGTGCATATATTTATTAAAAACTTCGGGCTTCACAGGATTTGATTATGTGACCAACCAAGTTCATTTCCCAGTGAACTTTTTAACATTGTTGTATATTTCTTAATTATACAGACCAACTTGAAAAATCTAGTTCTCTTACCTTAATGGCAATCCCAAAACTGCTTAAGAGAAAATAGTAGCTTACTTAAGTATTATTTAAAAAAACAAACAAGAATTCAAGGTACTGATAAACTTCTTTATTTTCAATTGGATAAATCATAAATGCTAGCCAATATTATTGATGTTTGAATGTATATTAATAATATGTATTGTGTTTGGGTGCAGATTTACAGGAAGAGGATTGTAAATCTCCCAATTTTTGTGAGAAACTGAGCAGCAGTCTTCTGCAGCTGTATGATGAACAGAAGTTTTGCGACTTCAGAGTTTCAGTCGAGAAAAGAGTATTTAAGGTATGATATGCTGATATGTTTGACTCTCCCTGATGTCCTTTCATACATGAGTGACTTCAGAATGAATCTCAATCACTTAACTTTATTAATTGTAGGTGTACTTATCATGTTTGTTTTAACTCAGTGTTCTGAAATTCATTGAATTAATGAATTTCAACATATTTATTATATTTATTCATTAGGTCCATAAAGTTGTGATGGCTAGTGTAAGTGAATACTTTAGAGCCATGCTGGAGCATGACATGCTTGAAAATCAAAAGGGGCTTTTGGAGCTAAAAAGCCTCTCAGTCGCAGGTGTTGAACCTCTCATCAAATTCTCGTACTCTGGAACCATGACTTTGAACCTTGGAAACATTTACGAAGTGATGAATGCAGCAACTTTTCTTCAGATCATGCCAGCTGTTGATTGTTGTGTCCAATATCTTAAAAACAAGCTAACTTTTGAAAATGCGGAGGAATTACTAAGGATAGCAGATCTGTATTCAATTCCTCAACTTAAAAGTTACTATAGAAAGTACATTTTAAGCAATTTCCTGGAGTTTGGACTGACGGATCAATTTCTGCATTTGGACAGTGAGACACTGGCGGACTATCTCAGTGATGATGCTCTGAATACAACCTCAGAATGTATATTACTTCATCTTGTTATGAACTGGTACAATCATGATCCAGAAAATCGTAAAGATTCTGCTTTTGAAGTGTTCGAAAAAATCAGGTACGTGGTTGATGGATGGCCTGCTGTGCAGTATGCTATACACTGTGAACCATTCAAGACGATTCCAGCATTAAAGGATCTCATCCAGTTTGCAGACTCTTACTTAGGGAATTATGAAAAGAGATTTACATTTGACAGCCATAGGACCCGAATGAGAGGCACTAAAAAATCCCTGATTCAGATAGGAGGGGAAATTAAATTCTCGTATGACTACCGGGATGATGCGTTAGACTTTCCGATGTTGTTCAGAAATGACATACTTGGTTGGCATAGGAACCATTATTATGATTTTGACCTGAAGAAATGGCTTCCGCTTGGAGATGCAGAGATTCAGGCAAAACTCTCATCACATGCTGCTCTGACAGAAGTGAATGGAAATGGTAAAATTCTATTTCAGATTAGTAATACATGTAAATGTGTTATAATTAGTAATTTGTTAAAACATAAATTTACAATGCCTCAGTATTTGTGATAGAGGAATTTAGATCTTGTATCATGTGTCTGAGTGTGATTTGTCTGATTGACTTACCAAGAGAGTCTAGAGAGATTTCAGGAAGTTTCTTCTTTTAGTGTAGTGATGGCAGGAATATACTTTGTTACATATCATCCATTAAAATGAAAATGCTAATATTTCTAGATTATCTGAGTATATTTTGAAAGGGAAAACTGCCTTCAGACATTAGTTTATATACAACTCTTTTTGTGTTTTCTAGCAATAATGTGTGGAGGCTATACATATGGTGTGACGGAGACTGGACTCATTTCAAAACATGTGACAAAAAGAACCTGGTTATTTACAGCAAGTGACTGTCGACTCAGGGATATGCCGTCCATGAAACATCCTCGAGTCAAGCATGCAGCAGTCTTCCTGCAAGGTAAAATGAAGCCATTCTTGAAGCTTTCCATTCTACATGAAAGTACTCTTGTTAGTCCACATTTAAACCATACATAACTACATTGTATGTTGATTTTGAGTCAAAGAGGGAATGCTATGGCCATGTGTATGGTGTGCAAGGACTCAATGACATATACATCTCAAGACCCCCTTGGCCTATTTTTATCAAATTTGTATCACACAGTATCGTTGGGGGCAAGGGATTTCACTTATACTAATAATATGGATGTGATTCTTAAACAAGGGGATATGATTAGAGAATTATATTTTTAAAAAGTAGTACATGCAGTTGCTGAAAAATCTGAAGAACCACTTTGCAGATTATCACCAAACTTACACATAAGGATACAGATATGTTGGTGATTAAAGGCTTATTGAGGCATCACCATAGGTGCAAAGGTTGTAGTCTCAAGGTCACTTCAAAGACTTTAAATTATATATTGTTAAAACTTTGATATTTTACCTAATATGAGAACCAGGACCACCAAATCTTGACAGTTGACATGGTTTAGGAATCTATTAAGGTCTTTGGGATATGTTTACCTACCCAAAAGTAGGTCAAGACTGGCACATTTTACAGCTATTTATTTTTATATTGCTTTAAATGCATATCTTGGACACTGTGAAATAAAGGATCATGAAACTTTGTCAGTTGTTGCATCATAATTTCTCAGAGTATGTTATTCTCTGAATTTTCATGGGGTCTCAGAATGTGTGAATTCAAAAGTAAGTCAAAGTGGTGTACTTTTTTTTAATTTTCTCATTATTCATTATCATATTATCAAATATATTTAGCCTGGATACACAGAGGCCTAGGATTATCAGTGCTTGTCAGTCAGTATGCACTGGGCCTTCGAGATCTACTTTAAACCGGTATTTAAATTTAATTTTATTCATTACCAAATCTTTTCAACTTGAGCACTAGGAGGCCTTGGATTATCAAATCTTTACAGTTGATGCATTTGTGCTTTCAGAATTTGTTGAACTAGGTTACAAAGACTTTATTTTCAAATTGTTTTAGATGACTGTAATTTTTGTATACCAGAATTATCAAATCTTGTCACTGAGTTAAGCAAATTTAGAGACCTTCAGGATTTGCCAAATAAAAAGTAGAACACAGTGACCCACTTTCTCAATTTTATGGCTATTATAGCTATATATCTTGGGTGCTACATGTAAGATGCATAGAATCATAAACCTTTCTTAGTTGATGCTTTTTATGATTATGCAAAGTATGGCAAAATGACCTACTTTCTGACTCCATTTAGCCATCTTTTATAACACTTTGACATGTAGTGTCACCAAATCTACAAAGTTGATGCTTCTATAGGCACAGAGATGTGTCACTTCAAAAGTAGGTCACAGTGACCTACATTTTAAATTTGTCATAATTCATTGTCAAATCTTATTATATCTTGAATTCTAAAAGACTTAGGATCATCAAACCCTTAAGTTGATACATCATTGGGCTTTGAGATATGTTGATGCAAAATTAGGTCACAGTGACAGTGTTGTACAATCTATCAGAAGAACAATTCTATATATAGCCCCTTGAGCCTATTGTAATTTTAATTTTTCATGAAGATATGTGGCTTCAATGATAAGATGTTTGTAAATATTGATAAACTGCAAAAATATATTTTGTTTTGTTCAAGTGAAGAAATTGATGTTTTATTTTTTCATTACCAGTGATAAAAGAAAAAGTATACCCACAAGATTCAGGAGTGTGAGATTTCTTAAATCACTCACAGCATCATAATTCCAAAGAGTAACTTGCTAGAAACTGTATGCAATAATGCACATCACCCTGAATTTCTATGACATTTTGAATTTTGTCTGCACAACTACACTTTGTGATTATCATAAGTGTGATTTATCATTAAATTGTCTTAGACATCTTTGAGAACAACTCCTGCAGACAAAATTAGGTGGGACAATAACAGTATGTACCTCAGACATGTCAGATCATATTTACTATCTTGAAAATTGCAAAGGATGCAAAAGTTAATCCATCTCTGAGGTTTATCCACATGCAAAAGTTAATCCATCTCTGAGGTTTATCCACATGCAAAAGTTAATCCATCTCTTAGGTTTATCCACATGCAAAAGTTAATCCATCTCTGAGGTTTATCCACATGGATGAATCATATAACATGTAACATGTAGATTATTTTATTGTTAATCTTTTAAGGATGTGTCTATGCCATTGGTGGATCTGATGGCATTCAGAAATTGTGTTCTGTGGAGAAGCTGAGCTGTGGTGAAGATGATAAGATGTCCTGGTCCTATGTCCGAGGTTTATCTGCTTCACTGGATGCACATGCTGCTGTTGTGTGTAATAAGAAGGTTTGTAAGTGGATGCCATAAAATTAGGTTTAATGATTGATAAACATAAATGTAGAAACATTTGTGTACCCCATAAAAATAGTTAGCAAACACATATATAGTGAAATAGGGTTTAATCTAACGTCATAATTTTTCATCCAATACCAGAAAACAGTGCATCTTTAACTGGATTTAAAAAATAACAAAGAAAAAGCAATTTCAGCTTTCTTAGGGAAATAGATTTAAATGTGTTTCACCAGAAATATAAAATGATACATTTAATTAAACATTTAAAGCTGATTTTTGCAAACTTTCAAAAATATTTAAGATATAATAAAATGGTAAGTGAATATCACTCCTTAATATAAATGTCCTAAAGAACATAATTAAAATGCCAGCAGTATTATACATGTAAGTGGTATGATCACTTGTAACTTCTCAAATTCTAAAACAGTAGCCTGTTCCGTAAAAAGATCTTAGTACAATTAATTTTCATCTTGATCGAGAGAAAACTTTCAACTTGTTCCTTTTCACAAAAATTCTTGCGAGTTTCTTAAGTTTAAAACTTTTTGTAACTTAACAAGAGCTCTAACCCTTTCTTAAGTATTTTAGTCAAGAGCTAATTTTAATGTTAAAAATATAACAGATGAAAAAAATATGTGTTTAATCAAGCTTTTTATGCACTCTACAGTATTATTTTAAGTCACAAATATGTTGATAAATTAAATAAAATAGTCTGCTAAACATTCATTCACAATGGCAGATTATATATGACCTACTTTTACATTGGACTTGGTGATTGTGAAGTCAGATTTCAAATTTTCTTGCTTCACGATTGATTGCACTCGATATTTATGTTCAAAATTTTTGATTCACTTACAAGAGTTGTAAAAATTAGTTTTTAATTCTTATCCACTATTTTAAGGATTGCAAACATATTGAGATTGTTGCTAGGGAAGAAGTTTGTTTTAAGTAAAATCGTAATATCAGTCTACTTTTAAGATGTTCGTGAAAAGCTCTGAAGGTTTGTTGTAAGAGATTAAAGTTAAAATCTTACTCAAAACATTAAGATTTTTTTTTTTTGTGAAAAGGGCTACAGCACTATAAGTTAATCTCCTTGTTAATACATGTACTGCTACATATAAGTTATACTTGTAATGTACAATGCTTTTAAATCTTTGTAGATATACATATCTGGAGGAGAGAGAAGGCGGGGCCATTTAACAAACACAGTGTGGTGTTACTGTCCTGTACTCAATAGATGGCACAAAAGGAAATCAATGCTGAAGGGTATGGGAGAAAACTTACTAAAGATCAAGATCACTCCGTATTACGGACACCTGAAAATATAGAAGTAAATTAATTGAGTGGGCTTTTCTGATTAGCTATTGTCTGCTTCCATCTCTCCTCCTGTCAGGCTGTCCGTTTTTAAAATTAAGATTTTTCAACTTCTACAAAACCACTGGGTAAGTTGGGCCATAATTGTCAATCAAAAACTTGCATTGGAATATATAGAAAATTCTCTCTTAAAAAATCAACTTCTATAAAATAAATATTAGGCCATCACAGTATGCAAACATTTCTGAATTATGTGGATTCAAGTTTTTTTTTTTTCCATTTATGGTCGTTTGGGGTTAAGGTTGGGCTATAGCACCAGGGATCAAATTCACATGAGGCATGTTTACAGAAAAAAATTATAAAATCTTCTTCCTTAGAACTGCAAAGCTATGTCATTTATATAGATAGTGAAGCATCCCTATCTTGTTATGATTTAGATTCGAATAAGTCATGATCCCTTTGGGGCTAGGGTGGGGTCACAATATGAATTTAAAATTTCTCAGTGGAAGCAAAGAGAAATTAACAACATGGCCATGATTACTCAGTTAAAGATTGTGGCCTATGAGCCTGTTATTTGATAGCGTGAAAATTCAAGCCCTTTCACATTGCTAATATTTATAACATTCTTTTAGTTAGTAATTTGGAATCAGATGATTAATACAACACCAAAATTTATACTGATCGAAGTTGATATGTAAATTTTGTTTGATTCTGAGAAGGCAAAATCATCGTGGTTGAAAAAAAGGTTCAGACAAGAAAATGCATTTTACAAATGCTGCTAGGAGTTAAGAATGATTCTTGGTTCTTAACTTTGCTCTCAAACTTTCTTCCTCAGAGAGGAGTGGACATGGAATGGCCAACATTAATGACACGATATATGTACTAGGTGGTATCTCTGGTACATATGAGATTCTGGATACCATTGAAACATACAATGTTGACACTGATACTTGGACAAAGATCTGTACCACTCTGCCATTGCCTGTATGTTTTGCTTCTACAGTTGGTAAGTTAGTTTCTCCTTCTCAATTTAACTTTTGAACAACATTGGAAAATTTACATTTTTGAAATAGTCTGTATTTTGGATTATTTCCCTTTAACCTCAATCTCATTTAACATGGTGCTACATATTTATCAATTTGTAATTGCCAAAACACAAGAGGTTTACAATGGGACTTTTTAAATATGGGATTTCCTAATGGACAAGTATCGAAAGTTAATTAAGTCTTGAGTAAGATAACTTTAATTTAATTTAATTTATGGGATGTTAACTTAAATTTACAGCTTGATATTAAATTTTAATTTTAATTTACATCTTTTTGTTTACAAACAAATTAGTTTACCCTCCATGGGATGTACTGCAGGTATAGGTATTTTCATCAACAAACAAATAAAATTATCTTCTTAATATTCAGTTAAGGAAAGTATTTATTTGTTTCCAAACAAATGAGCATTGTGCCCACTCACATACATTTACCTACCAGTATACAAATACTAAATCGAGGGAATTTTTTTTTTCTCTACCCAAAGAAGAGCTAAGCATGCATTTATTAGCAGTAAACTGTCATCTGGCCATCTGCCTGTAATCATATAGAAGAACAAGATTACTGTTTTGTCAAACATCGTTATCTCAAACTCGATGGGAGCAAAATATTCAAGGATTTGAGATATCAAGGGTACAAGTATATATTAGTACATGCAAATACATCCACATATTTTTAATCTAATGAGGATTGAACATTTTAGATGGAGGATCAAAATCTGTGCAATTTAATATTATTTCTAACTTCTTATTGATTTGTAGTTATGGATGATAAGATTTTACTGGTTGGAGGTAAAGTGACTGCAGAGATGGAGAGTGAGGATGATGGAGTTGATAATATAGAGATGTATGACCCTAAAGAGGATGTTTGGACATCAGTGGGCACCTTAATCAGGCCATTAAAATGTACATAATAAAATAATGTTTCATATAAATATTCATTTGGTGGGGATGGGGGGGGGGGGGGGGGGAGTATTTCTAAAGCATTTCGATAGAACTGATGTTGGGCATGGAAAGTTTCATAAAACTAATTTTTTAAGAATGTTTTAAATAACACAAGTGTTCTCGCAGTTAATGATTTGATGACTTTTTCACTTTTAACTTTTGGATTTCAGTCCAGTCTTGTTGTGCCTTGACATTGAAACTGACCAGTAAGGGGGAAATGGAAACTGATGAAATATACGCTAAATATGCAAAGATTGTGTAAGTAAGATAATTTTAAAAATATACAATATTATGTATACATATATTCCTGTGCCATCAGTAGCAATTATGCAATTATAAAATGTTCCCTTTATCTCTTTACATAAAAGAAGTATTGTACATATTTACAGTCCTGAAGTTCAAGAATCACTGTAATGCTTCCCTGAACTCAGTGAACTGTGTCTAACTTTGAGTATTACTTATGGTAGCTGTATTCTCAGTGCAGTGTAATATGTTGCTTTTTCTCAATGGGTTATGTCCTTGAAAATAACACTGTTGTATAAGACATATGAATAACGTCATAATTAATGGAGGGAACAAAAAATTGTTTTACTGAGAAAGAGTGAAATGTTGTAAACTTGATTTATATTTTGAAACAACATTTGTCTACCTCAGAGGTTTTCCTGCAACATCCATGAAAATGCTTTCTTTATTTCTTAAATAAATCTGCTGATGAAGAACAGTAGGGCCATAGTGACTCAGGTGAGTGATGTGGCCCATGGACATCTTGTTTAAATGGCTATAAAATACGTTCTATTTCCATTAGCGAACTCTTCAATATTAGAGGCGCATTTGGCCGTCTGACTGGGACAGCATGGCGTTGCAGATAATACAAAACATGCCAATCTCATGCAATCCAATTTTAAATGTTAAATGTATTTGTCATTCCAATTAAAGAATAGAAGAACTAAAAGACATATGTAAGAGAGCAAGAACCCTAAATTTATCATCCATTAATAAAAAAAAAATACGACATTTCCAAGGCACGTGTATTGTATTTAGATGTACCATACGATAAATAGATACATACGATCAACAATAGATATAAATTGATATCGTTCTCATTCCTATTCATGATGTATATAAAGTCCACAACAATAAAATATTTCATTTGCATTTTGTTAGGATTTGTTCATCGACATTCAACATATTGTTAGCATGTGTATGTTACGTTTGTCCCAGGAATCCCGCGAGATTTGTACATTTTCCGAGTTTTTGACAAAAGAGCACACTAAGAAGTATAACTCTTCCAAAGTGGAAATAGAACGTATTGAGGTATTACTTGCTTAAAGGTATGCAAATAATTTTTTTTTTTTGGACACAAAGATCCATCTTGTTTGAAAGCAAGTAACATGATTTTGTATTTTCTTAACAGAAGATCTTCTGGTACCTTAATATACAATGTATATGTAATGGATAAATGCCGAATACAATCCTATATGAAAAAATATCAGACAGTTTGTTAAAATATTGCCCTTTAAATGTTTTAATGATCATTAACACTTTTGTCTTTTGTAAAAATATCAGACTGTCTGAGGTAAATCAGAAAGTGTCATTTAAAGGGCAGTGTTTTAAGTAGAGAAACAATAATTCAATATCAATACAGGTCAATTATGAAATACAACCTGCAGAAATGAGAATTTTCCTAATTGTCCAGCTCCACTTATTTTAGGAATGACTCTAATTCTTGGCCAAATTATTCGAGTATAACCTGGTTTGGGTCAGTTTAAACTTTATAATCCGCGAAGCGGATTATAAAACAGCGTAAACTGACCCAAACCAGGTTATACTCGAATAATTTGGCCAAGAATTAGAGTCATTCCTTATAATTTAATTTTAAAATCATTAAATAACTATGGGTGTAAAATTTCGTTGCTTTTTATTAGTTCAAATTTGCCGCTCAATAATACAACCATAGTAACGGAAGTAACGGAAGTGATGGGAAGTGAGGGGAGGTAAAAACTGATACATAGGCCTAGTAGCTTGTTTACATGTGGTAAGATCGAATTATTGTTTGAAGTTAAAGGTACATTTATTAAATCTGGAATTTTCCATGAATCCCGAGGACTGGAAATGAGAGGATTGTATGGATACAGATGATTCAGCTGGTTGTCAGGGGGGTGTGTCCCCATACCAAACCAGGTTATACAGAAATAATTTGTGTTCCTTTTTGGATATTAACCAATCAGAGGCTAGAATACAAACAAAATTAAATTATTAACATTTAACAACATAGAAACTAATGAAAGATATCCCTCTTGTGTTAGAACTTATAAGCAAGGGTATATATAGTGATTAAAATTTTAGCGAGCAACTAACAGGCTGCTGAAATAAGCCAAAGTTAGCACCCTGCCAAAAAATTCTTTATGTTATGGTAATTAAATAATATGAAATCTATTGAAAATCAGTTTTATTTTAGCATCATTGAGGAATGTAGGCAGCAAAGCATTTGTACTAAAATAATTCTTTAACCCTACCACCTCACCTTAGACACATTGAATTTCACATTGACTTAGTTTGTTCTTTATTTTCAAAATACACAAAAACCCTATGCAGAGATCACACCTCAGAGGCAAATGATGCAGATGATGCTATCAGCTATTTATCTTCACCATAAAAATGTTCTAACACTGACACATTATTATTTATTTAATAGTAGACACAGACTAGGCAACTAGATAAAGCTCCTGTGTCTAGATTTAGACATGGACACTAGATATAGTTCTTCTATCTAGATACAGACAAGGGAACTAGTGATAACTTCTCTGTATAGATTTAGACATGGACACTAGATATACATGTAGTTCTTCGATACAGACATGGGAACTAGTGATATCTCCACGTGCGCTGTATAGATTTAGACATGGACACTAGATATAGTTGCTCTGTGTAAATGCAGATTCTGACATGGACAATAGCTATAGGTTCACTAGATACAGACATGGGCACTAGCTAAAGGTTCACTAGACTGGCTATAGCTTCATTGCATACAGACATGGACACTAGCTTCACTAGATACAGGCATAGATGCTAGCTATAGCTTCACTAGATACAGACATGGACAGTAGCTATAGCTTCACTACATACAGACATGGACACTAGCTATAACTTCACTAGATACAGCTATAGCTTCACTAGATACAAGCATAGACAGTGAGCTAGTGTCCATGTCTGTATCTAGTGAACCTATATCTAGTGTCAGACACTAGCTATAGCTTCACTAGATACAGACATGAACACTAGCTATAGCTTCACTAGATAGAGGAATAGACACTAGCTATAGCTTCACTAGATACAGACATGGACACTAGCTATAGCTTCACTAGATACAGACATGGACACTAGCTATAGCTTCACTAGATAGAGGAATAGACACTAGCTATAGATTCACTAGATACAGACATGGACACTAGCTATAGCTTCACTATATACAGACATAGACACTAGCTAGGTATAGCTTCACTAGATACAGACATGGACTTTAGCTATAGCTTCATGGGATACAGACATGGACACTAGCTATAGCTTCACTAGATACAGGCATGGATCCTAGCTATAGCCTTACTAGATACAGACATAGTCACTAGCTATAGCTTCACTGGATACAGACATGGACGCTTGCTATAGCTTCACAGGATACAGACATGTACACTAGCTATAGCTTCACAGGAAACAGACATGGATAGTAGCTATAGCTTCAGTTCATACTGACATGGACAGTAGCTACAGGTTCATTGGAGACAGACATGGATACTTGCTATAGCTTCACTGGATATAGACATGGGAACTAGCTAAAGCTTAACTTTAAAATAAAAAAAATTAAACTCCAAGTAAAGTGAATATACTGTAACAGGAAGTAAGAAAATGGGACAGACCAGATCATGCAAAAAAAAAAACAGGTCCCTTAACTTATAATAAACTTATTAACTTTAAGAAATGTTTCAGTCCCCTTGGCAAGCAAAAGAACCTTTCTCTGAAAAAAATATGCTCACTGAGGGTTGCCAGAGAAACCCAAAAACTTTCAAAAAACAGTCATAAGAGATAATCTTTACCCTCAAAATATGGCTGAAATACTTTAGATTTGGCACTAAGCAATATACATTCAATCAAATCAGTCATTTAGTGCTGACCATAGGTTACAAAGTCCTTTAATTAGCTGGGTTGAATAATTATGATTGGAAGTATTTAACCACTATTTATAAGCAGAATTGGCTGGTCACTCATAATAAGCATAGAAGAATTTTGCTGCTGGTTACATTACAAAATTATTCTCTTTTTAAAGTTTATTTTCAGTGTATATTATTGAAAATGGGAATGGGAAAAAGATGAATGCCTTTGCAGAATCAAAGTAGAATATGATAATTAAATATACCATACTTAATTTGACAGATTCTCTACATTTGAAAGGAATTGACCAAATTCCAACATTTTCATAAAAATAATCAATTCCTTGATTGCTGATTATGTTTGTTCTTTTTTTTTTTTTTTTTTTTTTTTTTTTTTTTGGCTCTGGGGTGTCAAAATCCAAGGCACACATGCGGATGCTAAACATAGAAAAAATTTGAATGGCCTTATATAAATTCATTTATATGGCTTTAGTTTATTTTTATTTTTTTTGGTTGTTCAGTTCAAATCAAATGTTCACACCTGCATTTTCCTTTCCATTCCAAAAGCATCTTCCACTAGATTGTCTGTATCATAAGCTGATGCATTGCTTTAAGCTCCGTGTATATTTTAAGGAAGAAAAAAAAATTTGTCCCCACTCTCTGTATCAAACTTATCAAACTACTTCAATACCTGATACAGTGTAGCTAATTCCCTAAATACTGAGTACTTTTCATTTAAGCCTGCATTCTTGAAAGAATTGCTTCAGTGTTCACTAACACGTTTGTCTTTTGTTATATTATCTGACTATGTCAGGTAAATCAAAAAGCTATATTTTAAGTACGATTTTTGCTTCATATAATTCTTATGAAAAAATTTCAGTCAGTTTTTGGCCCTAACAGGGCTCAAACTATCTGATATTTTTTTTAATACAGAACTGTATTTGGCATATATCCATTACAGGTACTGGCATGAACACTAGCTATAGCTACACGAGAAACATACATAGATACTATTGATAGCTCCTTTCTAGATACAGACTAGCTACACTAGATACAGACATGGACAATAGTTATAGCTTCACTAGATACAGACATGGATACTAGCTATAGCTCCACAGGATACAGACATGGGCGCTAGCTAAAGGTTCACTAGATACAGACATGGATACTAGCTATAGCTCCACTAGATACAGACATGGATACTAGCTATAGCTCCACTAGATACAGCTATAGCTACACTAGACACAGAGATGGACACTACCTAATAGCTTCACAGGACACTAGCTATAGCTTTGCTAGACACAGACATGGGCTTTAGCTCTAGGTCCTTTCAGTATAGTGGACACATGCTGTTGCTACTGTGTCTGAATACAGACATGGACACTCTCAATAGCTCAACTAGATAAAGACAGGGACACTAGCAATAACTCCTATATGTAGGTACAAGCATGGACACTAGGTAATGCTTCACTAGATATAGACAAAGAGACTAGCTATAACTCCTTTGTATAGATTGAAGCTACATGTATAATCCTTTGTATAATACAGACATGAGCACTAATCTAGATATAGCTTATTTGTCTATAGATATAGACATTGGCACTGATAAGACTCTTGTGTTATAGAGGACAGATATGTACAAGCATATGTGAATACAGTCATGCCTTAAATTGTTAATCTGAACCTTTGGGTTGTCATGCAATATACCAAGTACATGTAAATGAAGCATCCAGATACATAGTACTGAACCATATGTTTTAAATGTCAATTTTGTTCCACACAATAACCACACAGTATCACAAAATGTAATGATATTGTTATGAACAAGAAGTAAACCAACCAAACTTTTGATGTCAAGATTACTGAGGTTTCATTGCACATCATTAGAAAAGTTATTGCTGCATGTTTTAATTGTTTTCATCATGTTATCTCTTTTTTTTTATCATACTTTTCTGTTTTTTGATAGGAATGAAGATCACCACTTTGAACTCAGCAATGAGCTGGACAAGTTTTATAATACAATACCAGAGGACTCTTAACCAGTAACTTCAATATAGTCTACAAGCCTTGTCTACTTGTCTTTTGGTGTCAAACTGAGGATTGATATGAAAGAGTTAATTTAGATGTTGATAATCACTACAAAATTGACTTAGATGGCCTTGTCAATTGGAAAAATGTATTGATATTGTTATGAGCAAGAAGTGTATAGAGAATACATGTACACTGAATTTTTCCATAATACATGTATATGTACTCTGAAATTTTCTTTCTAAAGGTTAATTTGAAACATGCACAAATTGTTTCAAAGCCTATGGTTTAAATGATGTTTACTTAAGTATTTGATTTATAAACTTACTTTTAGCTGTATTTAATTTTAATATTTTGATTATGTTTTATATCTTACATATATACTAGGAGTAAGAGTATCAAACAATAAATTCTGTAATTATCACTTTCCAGGCTGAGTCATCTTTCTGTGTGTAATTTATTGATATGTGGGTGGAAAATGCTTTTCAAAATTTTTTCTTTTTTCACATAAACTAAAGGTACTGTGTGCTTAGAAAGTTTTGGCAACTGATTTTCAATTTTATTTTATTAAATAGCTGGAACTACAATTAGACTTTGAGCTTTTGTGTCAATTATTATTATAAAGTTTTTATTAAGTTTAGACAGCTACAATATACTGTTTATAGGTGAAAATATGACAAAAGTGTATAAAACAAGAGGCCCTAGGGCCTTGACAGTCACCCGAGTACTGAGAGTTTCTCTTGATATGTCCAACTATGAAATCTGGACTTGTGTGTCATGACATTTATAATTTGATTAAGACTGTGTTCACTTTTAATATTCCTGAAGCTTTCTCCTAGTTTAATTAGGAGAATAAAAGCTTTTCAAAAATAAGTCATAAACTAATTCCCTTCCTGTGGCCTCCCATTTAGCATTCTCGTAAGACTTTCTATTTGTGTTTCTATAATATTTCTTGTTGATATACAAGACCAAGTTGGCTCCAGCCTGGTGCCTGAACCCTGGATCTAGGTGACACAAATATTTTTTGAAGAGGCTGAACTGCTCATTATTATCATGAAATTTTGTTTTCTCTGTTTGGTCCTTTTTTGTTGTGGGGCCACAATGGGGGATCAAAGTTTTACATAGAAATCTGTAGGAAAATATCTTTAAAAATCTTCTTCTTAAGAACAGCAAAGCCGTGATTGGTAATATTTATATGGAAGCTTCCTCAGGTAGTGTAGATTCACGTTTGTTCAAGTCATGACCACCTGGGGTAGGGTGGGGCAAGAACGGGTGAGTAAAGTTTAGCATAGGAATACATAGAAAAATTCTTTAAAAATCTTCTTATCAAGAACAGAAAAGTCATGATTGGTCATATTTTAATGGAAGCATCCTCAGGCAGTGTACATTCAAGTTTTTTCCAGTCATGACCCCGGGGGGTAGGATGGGGCCACAATGGGTGATCAAAGTTTTTTATGGGAGTATATAGGAAAAAACCTTTAAAAATTTTCTTCTGAAAAACAGCAAAACCATGATTGGTCATATTTATATGGAAGCATCCTCAGGTAGTGTAGATTCAAGTTTGTTCAAATCAAGACCCCTGGGGGTATGTTTGGGCCACAATGGGGGATCAAAGTTTTACATTGGAATATATAGGAAAAATCTTTTTCTCAAGAACAGGAAAGCCATGATTATTGATATGGAGGCATACTCAGGTAGTGTAGAATCAAATTTGTTCAAATGAGGGCCCTGGGGGATAGGGTGGGGCCACAATGGGGGATCAAATTTTTACAAATGAATATAAAGGAAAAAAATCTGCTGCCAAAGAACAGCAAAGCCATTTGTTATATTGATTTGGAAGCATCATCAAGTAGTTAAAAATTCAAGTCCCCCCTCCTCCCCCCCCCCCCCATATAAACTTTTCAATACTGAACTGATTTTTGCTTTTTTCATAGCACATTAAATGTTCTCAGGTGAGCGATGTGGCCCATGGACCTCTTGTTTTGTTTTGGGTGCTAAATGTCCATAATAAACAAGAAGATCATATAACATATCATATATCATATAAAGTAGATTCTTTATAAATAGGACTAATTCAGCCCCAACCTTTGGTGAGAGCTATTTAACTTTGTTAAAATTTTCTGACCTTTCCTTAAGACCTTCACTTCACTTTTCAAGATATTTTAATCAAACTTTATGCAAAGTTACATTTTACTCATAGCTATTAAACCCTTTCATAATTCTGACCTTGACTTTCCGACCTTCATCATCACTTTTGGAGATTTTTTAATCAAACTTCATACAAAGAAACAATTCAATTCTGTCAGTATTTTCTTACCCTGACCTTTCCAATGACCTTGACCTTATTTCTTCACTTTGTAATTACATGTACCAAAGTTTCAAAAAAGTGATCAAGATATTTTTATCGAACTTTGTATTCTGATACAAAATGGTAAAAGCATTTAACTGTGTCATAGTTTTCTGACTTCTACTTTCTCTGTGACCTATATGAATTCCACTTTTTAGCTCACCTGAGCTGAAAACTCAAGTGAGCTTTTCTGATCACCCGTTGTCCGTCCGTCTGTAAACTTTTCACATTTTCAACTTCTTCTCAAGACCCGCTGGGGCAATTTTAACCAACGTTGGTACAAAGCATCCTTGGGTAAAGGGGAAGCTAAAATATTAAAATGAAGGGCCAAGCCCCCTTACAAGGGGAGATAATCAAGAAAAGGCAAAAATAGGGTGGGGTCATTAAAAAATCTTCTTGTCAAGAACCACTGGGCCAGAAAAGCTGAAACTTATGTGGAAGCATCCTGGGGTAGTGTAGATTCTAAATTGTCAAAATCATGACCCTGGGATAAGGAGGGGCCACAATAGGGAATCCAATTTTTTCACTGAAATATATAGAAAAAATCTTTGAAAATCTTCTTCTCAAGAACCACTGGGCCAGAAAAGCTAAAACTTATGTAGAAGCATTCTGGGGTAGTGTAGATTTTAAATTGTTAAATTATGACCCCCAGGGGTAGGGCAGGTCCATAATTGGGAATTCATGTTTTACATTGAAATTTATTGGAAAAAAAATTTCAAAATCTTCTTCTCAAGAAGTACTGGGCCTGAAAAGCTGAAACTTATGTGGAAGCATCCTGGGTAAGTGTAGATTCTAAATTGTTAAAACCATGACCCCCAGGGGTAGGGCGGGGCAACAATAGGGAATCCAAGTTTTACATTGAAATATATAGAATTTTTTTTAAAAAATCTTTTTCTCAAGAACCACTGGACCAGAAAATCTGAAACTTATGTGGAAGCATCCTGGGATAGAGTACATACTGAGTTGTAAAAATCATGACTCCCAGAGGTAGGGTGGGGCCACGTAGGGAATCCATGTTTTACATTGAAATATATAGAAAAAAAATTTCCAAATTCCCTCTCTCAAGAACCACTGGGCCAGAAAAGCTGAAACTTATGTGGAAGTATCTTGGAGTAGTGTAGATTCTAAATTGTTTAGATCATGATCCCCGGGGTGGGACGGGGCCACAATAGGGAACCCCAAGTTTTACATTGAAATATATAGACAAAATCTTAAAAATCCTCTTCTCAAGAACCACTGGGTCAGAAAAGCTAGAACTTATGTGGAAGCATCCTTGGGTAGTGTAGATTCTAAATTGTAAAAAAATCATGACCCCCAGGGGTAGGACAGGGCCACAATAGGGAATGCGAGTTTTACATTGAAATATATATGAAAAATCTTTAAAGATCTCCTTTTCAAGAACCACTGGGCCAGAAATACTGAAATTTATGTGGAAGCATCCTGGAGTAGTGTAGATTACAAATTGTCAAAATCATGACCCATGGGGATAGGATGGGGCCACAATAAGTACATGTATTACCTGGGGAAAGTCTGGTGAAGAACAGCAGGGCCAAAGTTACTCAGGTGAGTGTTGTGGCCCATGGGCCTCTTGTTTATTTTCTTATACTGTTAGCTCAGACCAAAGAAGCAGGTACATTTCATGTTGCAATACCATGGGCAGGGCATTCTTGTCCTATGACCAAATTTCTACATCAAGATTGCATAAATAATGTTTTTGGTACACCACAGGTGGGCATTTAACATGGAATTCACAATTTCTTAAATTCCAAATTTATTCATTAATTTCAAGGAAGCTGAAAATGTAAAGTTGACAAACAATGGATGAAAAGATAGCAATTTGTCCCCTGAATGACAAAAACTTCATTTTTGTGAAAGTATGTTGCTAGGATATACATGTACACACAACCATAAAGCCAAGCCTTTCAGAATATTTTTTTAATGGCCTATAATTTGCAAACTTTAGAGCTTTTCGCATCAAAATTTGTTTGTTGTCTATTGTTAACGTTGTTGTTGTCGTCCTTTTCAAATTTTCATCCTCTTCTCAAGAATTTCAACCAAACTTGGCACAAAGTATCCTTAGGTGAAGGGGATTCAAGTTTGTTCAAATGAAGGGTCACTCCCTCTTCCTAGGGAAGATAATTAAGAAAAAGTGAAAATTTGGGGGTATCTTTTAAAAATCTTTTTCTCAAAAACCACATAGCCAAAATAGTTGAAACATCTGTGAAAGCTTCTTTACATAGTGTAGATTCAATTTTTTTTCAAATCATGACCCTTTGGGGTGAAGTGGGGCCAGAATGGGGGATCAAAGTTTTACAAAGGAATACATAGGTAAAATCTTTGAAAATCTTCTCAAGAACAGCAAATCCATGTGTAGTCATATTTATATGGAAGTATCCTAAGGTAGAGTAGATTCAAATTTGTGCAAATCATGACCCTAGGGGGTAGGGTAGGACCAGAATAGGGGGTCAAAGTTTTACATAGGAATATACAGGTAGAAATCTTGAAAATTCTTTTTTTAAAGAATAGCAAAGTCTTGTTGAGTCATATTAATATGGAAGCATCCTCAGATATTGTAGATTTAGGTTTGTTAAAATCATGACTGCCAGGGGTAGTGTGGGTTTACAACAGGGTATTAAAGTTTTACATAGGAATATATAGGAAACATCTTGAAAATTCTTCTCAAGAATAGCAAAATCTTGTGTAGCCATATTGATATGGAAGCAATCTTTAAATTTCCACTGGGCAAAAAAGGGTGAAACTTATATGGAAGCTTCCTGAGGTAGTGTGTTTTCTAAATTGTTCAAATCATGGCCTCAGGTGGTAGGGTGGGGCAGCAATAGGCAGGGAATCAGAGTTATATGAAAAATCTTCATAAGAACCACTCAGCCAGAAAAGGTGAAACTTATATGGAAGCTTCCTGAGATAGTGTAAATTCTAAATTATTCAAATCATGACCCCTGGGGGTATGGTGGGGCCACAATAGTGGAAAATCATGTGAAGAACAACAGGGTCAAAAGTTACTCAGGTGAGCATTGTGGTCCATGGGCCTCTTGTTTTTGATTTGCAATGTGGTGGCCAGACAGGTTTGATTGCCTCAGGCTAGATAGTTCAGTTAGTTCAGCACCTGACTAGTGATTCAGGGGGCCCCGTTCTGAATCCTGCTCAGATCCATCATAATTTTCTCCCTCATTCATTACATTTGGTGTTGTGCCATGCCCTGGAACTGACAGATGAAAGACCTGCCAGACAGGTTCAATCATCTGTGGCCAGGTAGCTCAGTTAGTAGAGCACCTGACTGGAGATTCAGGGAGCCTGGGTTCAAATTCTGGTCTGGTCTGTTGCATTTTTCTTCCTCATCAGTCAAAAGTACAATATTAATTACCGGTATGCAAAACATGTACATGTATATAATAAATACTTATCAAAATAAAGATTAAACAAAATGACAACACGTTAAATAAATATTGCTCAAATTTATTTGAAATGTAAAAAGAAAATTTACATTACATCATATAACAGTACCTCATTTGAAAAGTCAAAGAAAAAAAGTTTTTCTAAATATAATCATGATCATAATGAAAAAAAAATGCATCTCAAGAACACAATTGTTACTTAATACACAAGGAGCAGTAACTACAAAATAAAATATTTTCCAAAAATGTTTTAAAGAAAGGACTAGGCAAATGTGACTGATTTCATCATAACACTTGGACAATATTATAACATATATGGCAGTCAAAGAGCAGCAAACGAACAGGGAGACAATCAAAATAAAATCTTTTACTCCAAAAATGAGAGAATCTGAAGTTAGGATAATTTGATAGAAACTGAATTTTTAATATAAAAAAGATATTAAAAGCAAAAAAGCCCTCTGTAAAACAATCTTCATTGAAGACAAATATGTGATATTTTGATTGGTCAGGTGAACTTTTTTTCACAATTTGCATGCAAATTTTGTGCAATTATACTATGTTACTTTGATTAATGATTATATCTTTATGGTAGATAAAGTCCTTTTCTTTTTCATCCAAATTTTAATTCAAATACAGAAATTGATTTAAAGGTCTGACAACATGTTCCACAATAATATACAATTTCTGCCAAGAATTTGTCATTAAAGTATTGCTACTTCAACTTTGCTAAAAAAAATTTAGGTTTCTTACCAGGCATTTTACAAGATACCAGAGGACAGTGTTTCCTATATAATCCTATGGAAATCACAAGAACTGCCAATATACTTTTGGTGGTATTTCTTTTTTTAAGACATTTTGAAAAAAGTTAAGAAATATCACAAGATGATGATAACTATTAATATTTTTATTATAATATTACTTAGAGATTTGATGAACATGTTGAATAAATCAATTTTATTTTGTTTTCTTTAGTAAAATGTGGTTATTAATCATGTTAATAAAATGAAATGAACAAAATTTACATTTTATGATGCAGTTATCATTACTGAACCACTTCTGGTTAAAATTATTTCAAAAAAATATAACATCACATTTCTGGAAACATTGGTACAAGTGGGAACTATGTCAACCACAAAGTAATAAATTTTCACTTCTCAATGATACAGTTTTTAAATTATTTGGAAGCTCAGGACTATCCAATAATGCTGTTCACAAAATAATATTTCATTACACTACAATATGAACTTAATACTGATCTAAATTATCAATGGGTGGGGACCAATATTTATAGAGTAAAACAAGGTTACAGTGAAGATAATTATGACAAATTCACAATTAAAACAAAGTGAATTTCATTTCCTGTAGTTTTAAAACTTATTTTGATTCATAGCAAATTGTATTTATGACATAAAAATTATTCTTCTGTAGCGCTATGCTATTCTGTAGCACTATGCTATAAGTGTTTTTAATGTACATACAGTTGAGCCTCTTTAATGCGGACCCCGATAACCTGTTTTCTTCACCTACGAAATTAATGGGGAATAGAAATCTTATTTTTATCTTCTTATTATTAAAGGTGTGTTTCAGTCATCCAGATAATTTATTAATCCGGACAACAAGTGTCTGGATTAACACGGCTCGACTATATATCTTTTGTATCTAAGAGATTAAATTGATTATAGTTTTTTTAGTGCACTAAACCTTTATACATGCAAACACTTTTTCAGGTGTAGTGCTTCAAGTTAGTACATTTTGGTCCCCTTTGTAATGACCTTTTGTGGCATTAAGTTTGTGAGATTCTTGATCTATTTATATTTACATTATTTGAGGAACTATGTTCACCTCATCCAAACTCTGTCCTTCATTCTCCACATACTGTATAGGGGATAAATAATTTACCAGTGTTAATTTTCTCTGTAGTACCTCAGCAAAAATTTTAAATTCAAGGAGCAGTGAATAATTGATATGTTCAAATATACTGTGTACACTATGACATATTTCGTATATGCACAATTTCATAAATTCTAGATCTTGTGCCAAAAGAAACAAAAAGGGAAATCCACAAATTAAAACCCCTACACAACATACAAAGTCTATAAAATCCTCTTCCCAAAATTACATTCTCCTTCACAATATCAATAAAAATCCTTGAACAAGTAATATTTATACATTCCTCCTATGACATTCTTCAAAAATTCTAGACCTCACACTCTCATGACTGTGGCTTAATTGCATGGTACTTGGCTTCTACGAGAGGTGTACAAACGACAGAATCCAGTGACTCCTGGGAACTCTGTAATGATTGTAGATATCGAACTCGGTGTTTCTCCACTGCTGGACCCCAGTCATCTGTGTGATGGACCAACTTCTTAATTCTCTGTTAAATAATCAATGTCTTCTCTCAGTATGTTTAATAAAGTGCACCAAAAAGACACATGATATCCTATCAGGATATCTCATCATTATAAAATTATTTGAGTGCCATAAAAAAACACACAGCTAGAGATTTTCATAATGAAGCTCCAATGACCTAATTTTGAGTTGTATCACAATACCCAATGATGCATCAATTGACAAGGTTTGGTGATACATGTACTGCAAGTCAATCTCACAATGTGCAAGACATAATTGGGAGTTGAATATGTACAGCCATAAAATTCTAAAATGGTGTCACAGTGACCTATACTTTTGTGTTGCGACACACTTGACATCCATGATGCATCAATTGACAAGGTCTGATACTAGGTGTCACACTTTGGAAGACGTGATTCAGACATGATTTGATTATCTAGAGCAGTAAAATTTTAAAATGATGATAGTGATATACAGTGACCTACATGTACTTTTGGTTGAACTCGTCTTCCTAAGCCCCCATCCCCCCCCCCCCCCCAAATCTAGACCTCTCTGTGTGAAAGATATGACCCAAACATGATATAGCTTACAGAGGATGGAATTGTCAACACCATAGTGCACCCAACAAAATGTGGGCTTACATGTATAAAAAGACACAGGAAGTACAGTGTATTTGTTTTCAAGTTAAACACAATATCACAAGTGACTCTCAATTTAAACATTTGGTTAGACAAAAAAATAATAAACACACTTAAGGAAATACTTACTTGAAATATGTCCCCTTTTTCTTTCAAAATGGCAGTCACTGCACATACTGGAACAGGCACTAGAGAGACAAGTCCAAGCATCCAACCAAACACAATAGCTCCATCTGGGTATTCATAATCTCCGTAGGTCACCGGGCTTAACTGGGTCACACTGAACAACCATACACCCTACAAGAGGAGATACCAATGTTTAAGATACTGATACATGCAACACAGAACATACTGTCTTAATATTCAGCCTACAATCAGTTTATGATTTCTGTTTATCTTTTGTTTGTGTTACATGCTACTAGTTATATTTGATAAGGATAGTTTTTTTAATGGAACAATTACAATTTCATTTTATTTTTCTTCATAGTGAGTAATAGAATTCAGAGTATAAAAACAATTACTGAAAGATAACTTGAGCAAAAAATTTCCAGTGATCCATCATCAACTTACAGCTATGGTAACAGGTGTGATAAATAACCAGCAAATCTTCCACCAGATACCAGGCTGATATCCAATCATGAGTTCAATATCCTTGTAGAATCTGTCCACACCTGCGTTCAAAAATAATTTCATTAAAAGAACGGAAATTTTGAAATAAATCACTAAACGAGAGGCCCATGGGCCACAATCCTCACCTGGGTTAATATGGCTCTGCTGTTCTTCAGATTTTTCCCCCTCTATATTCCTATGTAAAATTTGGATCCCCTATTGTGTTCTCCCCCCCCCCCCAACCCTAGGGTTATGATTTGAACAAACTTTAAACTACCATCAGTATGTTTCCATATCAATATGGCTAGTCATGCCTTTGCTGTTCTTGAGAAGATTTTTTCCTATATATTTCTATGTAAAACTTTGATCATCCATTATGGTTCCACCCATAACTAGGGTCATGATTTGAACAAACTTGCATCCACAATGAAGAAAGAAAACAACCGACAAATCTTGTGCAAAAGGTTGAAAAAGAGGAGGGGGTTATTTTTTGTTACTGGGGTAAAGCTCTCCCATATAATACCCACAATCAGGTGCTAATTAAATTGTGGATGTTACTTAACAAGACTTACCATAGATCCAGGCTATAACCAGACATTCTGTCAGTGACAGTAACATCATAGAAAACACAGCACAGTACCAGTCCATGATCTGAAGCACGTAGATCCCTCCCTGTACACAAAAACAACAGGTTAATATCAAAGTATTAACATTTAAAGTAAGATACAACTGGCTCTTAATGTTTCCTTATTGAAAATGTCATAAACAATTTATACAGGAAAGTTATCCAGTAACAGACTTTCCCAATAGATATTGGAAAGCAACTTGTGTCACATTTAACAAACCTTTAAATTAACACAACTGGCAAGAATGAGGAAGTCATGAATTTCAAATGTACTGCATAAACAAAAGCATACATGTATACAGTAAAACACGCTTATAACAAAGTGCCAGGGATGGACAATTTGCTTCCTTAAAAGCATAATTCGTTATAAACATTAAGTGTTCAATATATTTTAAAGTCAACGGGAATGAAAATCACTTCACTATAAGTTCCAATTCATTATAAGTGTGTTCGCTATAAGCGTGTTTTACTGTACATGTATCAGGTAATCAAATTTATACTGTACACTATATGTTGCTTGTTATAAGCATGGTATATGTATAACTAAATTTGGCCTTTCTCTTGATTCTTTGAAATGCAAAATATAGGTCAGTGGCAGCCTTTAATGCTTGCATGACAAAATATTCATGAATGTAACTGGTGCTAAAAATAATTCCATATCCATAGTTACCCAGCATATAACTACTGAATTACACAGATATTAGTAGACAAAAGGTATGGTATGTACAGTATATCTTGTAAATGCTGCACTTGATCAAAACCACCCAAGAGTAAAATGTAGGACAGATGTAGAATTTAATGCATGCAGCTAACACAGCATGTAGATGTAGAGATGAACCAAATTGTGTCAACTCTAGTTTGTTATGTGGAAACACCTAGAGCTGACATAAACCAGAATCACTCGATCATAAAACATGCCAGATACAGCATCCAAAGCATCAGACCAAGCATCCATAGATGTACCATGTGCAGATTTGGCTTGGATACCACTTTTTGATAAGCCAGGGTCTAAATGCTGACCTAGCAAGGGATCTCATCTAAAGATATTCTGGGTACATGTAGTAAACAGAAGAATAGAAAAAAATTTGAGGACAAACATCTTGATTGCAGTATCACTTCCTCCCCCACCACAACTTCAACCTAGAAGGAGGGGGGTATACATTGTAAATACTGTGAAATCACTCATTTTCAAGGGGGCAATTTTTGTTGGTTTTGTAGTATGAGGAGACCTACTAATTCCTGTCCACCATGAAATGTAAAATTTCATATAACAACTCAACATGAAATCAAATCTTCATGAACCAATCTTTTTTCTTCAAACCACAAAACTTTGCCCCCATGAAAATATGTGATTTTGCAGTACCCCAAGATGAGCAAATTAATTTCTCTGGTATCAGTTCGTTTACCTGCATTATACATGGTATACCCAGAAGGAATTCGATGAAGCAGAGTAAAGCAGTGAACAGAACTTTCCTCTCCCTCAAGAGACCCGGGAACTCGTCAATGAAGGCACTCGTCATTGTTTCAAACATTCCAAACTATAAGATCGAAGGTACAATTGATAGCCTACGGAAAAGACACATACTCATTTCTTAAACACAATTCCAAAAGAATTCAGGAAATTCTATAGCCAAATTTAAAGATTGTTTTAATGTTCACTTTTGCTTTTAGATTTATTATACTGTTAACGCAAGTACATTAAAATTTTAGAGATCCTGAATACTTATTTCTTAAAAAAAATTCACAATGATGATGATTCAAACACATGGATTTTAGCTGAAAAAAAGGAAAATATTTCATGACAATTTAATACTTATAAAGCCACTTAACACATCCTGGTATTAAGAATCTACAGAGCCCTGAATTTTAACAGAAGTCTGTATGGATTTTTACACCAAGACAATGCCAAGCAGTCTTGGTTAAGTATCGTTATTTCCTTTGTAATTCTATGATGCAATTTTTTTCTATGAACAGAAACAATTCAAATTTTACACTTTATATAATTATGCATTGGATTCAGTGTTTGTTAAAAAGCATCATGTACTGCATCCAATGAAAAAGTAATGTAAAAAAAAAAAAACCAAACAATTAAAATTTTGTAAATTCATCTCTGATCTGTTTGAGAGCCTTACAAAGGAAATAAACTACATATGCAGGGTCTTTATAAATATGAAAGGTAAGGTAGGTAGGGTGAATATGAGGGAGGAAAATTTTGTAATGCACAGCAATCATATTTAACACCCCCCAAAAAAATTCTTTCATCTTTTTGATGTTATTCAGAGTTGTGTACATGAATTAGGGCATTAAAAAAATCAATTATTGAAAACACATTTTTATTACAAAGACCTTGCATTTTTCAAAATTTGTGTCATTAGATAAACACATGTGTATGAATCTTGGGAAACATTGTGATAAGATGTAAAGTTCACAAGTCGAAATACTTAAATAAATGAATATTTAAAACATACTTTACATTTTTACTATTTACTAGATTTTGAAAATAATTCTTGTGAACTCTGTGCTGAATTAAACCTACAACAAAATGAAAGTATGTTAAAACTTATATGCCCAATATGCATGAGCTACTTAAATTCCCAATCTCCCCCTATTTGGCTTCTAAACTACATTTTGCCCTCTGAAACAATTTGCACTAACTTTGATGTTGTAAATTGTTTTAAATCTCCAGATCAGCAACAACTTTTTTTTTTAAATGTTCATACATCAAATTACATTTCCCTACTCCTGCACATCGGGCAAAATGAAAATAGGGCAGTTGATACTTTATCACAGTTGACCTGGGTTACCATGGTGATATACAAATTTGCGTTGATCACATGGTCTTCCTGCACCACAATTCACCACATCCCTGGACAAAAAAGAATTTTCGAACAAATATTAAATATGTGTCTCACCAAATAACTTTTGTGTCAAATCTGACGAACCTACACTTTTCTTAGGAGTATTACATATCTAAGCATACCCATTTTAATACATGTTAAAAAATTAAAATATGCACAAACATATTTATTTTTTACCCACATGAAACCTTAATTAACTTAATTATCTCCCTTTAACTATAAATGAAATTCAAATGCTCTTAAACCTGTACTGTATTCACAGCAAACAAACTTGTTTTTGTGCTCAAAGCACTCGTCCAAACAAATATTTGTGCAATCAACTGCTGCAATAAGCATGCAAAAAATGTACATAGAAATAATGAAATTTGCAATTGACAAACTGATAACTTATATTAGCAGTATGCGTCTTATGTTTAAATTTGCATTTAGTCTTTAAAAAACAATTCTGTACTTTCTAATATTTGATTAAGTTTTCAATCATAATTCTTCACTTTATTAAGATTCAAACTACGAAGACACAATATAATATAAACAATGTGTTACTCTGTACATATATTTCGTCCTAGTGTCTCCGTCGTACCATACAGGAACCTTGGTAAATATATGTAAATTTTGATACTACGAGACTATTTCTACAGCATATAGCTCATCATGTAAAGAAATTGTTAAATATCGAGTTAAACATTTACTGATAAGACTTAATTTCTTCATTGAATTGAAAAAAAAAATCCAAATGATAACACACACACTATTGAAATGTACGTGTACAATGATGAAATCAATTCCGCTTACATTTTCAAATAAACCCTCGAATACTTTTCATAATAGAAAAAAAAATGCAAGAATTTTCCGTAACATATGGCTTATTCTATGAAACTTAATACATGTATATTCAAGGCAAACATATTTTGTATGATAATCAAGCATCAGTGGCTTTAAGCCTATGAAAGCCCTTTTGTTCAATTTTTTAAATATATATTATATACATGGTTGTTTTCATCATTATTGAGAAGTGCTATATTAAGTCTACATGCAACCAAACAAAAATCTACCTGAGTGTCTAAACCAACACTGATGAGCATAAGGAAAAACAGGACTGCCCACAGAGGGGAGATGGGGAGTTTGGACACAGCTTCTGGGTAGGCCACAAAGGTCAAACCAGGTCCTGAAATTACAAATAAAAGTTGCTTTTCACATCTACTTATGCAATTCATTGAACCTCTATTAAATATAAAATGAGCATATCCCCAGCCTCCCTCACCATGTTTCTTGTCTTATTATTTTTTTTTCCATTTAACCATGTTAACACACAAATCAGCCTTAAAAAATGCAATCAATTTTGGGTTAACATTTCAACATCTTTCATATTTCATATTGTACCTACCCTGGGTAACAACTTTATCGATGTCAACACCCGTCTCGTAAGACATGAACCCCAGGACAGAGAAAATGACCAAACCAGCAAACACGCTGGTGCCGCAGTTAATAAGGGGGACAATCATGGCGTCACGGTAACAGTTGTTGTTGAATTTGTTGAAACTGGCCATTGTGATAAGACCTCCCCAGGCCATTCCAACCGAGTAGAAAATCTGGACTGCAGCATCTCCCCATACCTATTTGCAGAGTATACACCCATAAAGTTTTCATGAACAACTTAGGAATCACTTAAATCAAATCTAAAATTCACATAATACTTTTTCTTCTTGATATTCCATGTCTGTAAAGGGAATTTTTCCGATTTTGGTTACAAACCTTGAATGTCAGAAGTTTTTCCCATTCTGGAACCAGGTAGAAGTATATTCCGGCTCCTGCACCAGGAAGAGTGACCCCTCGGATAAAAAGAATCATCAGAACCAGGTATGGAAAAGTGGCCGTCACATACACGACCTAGGGAAAAATAAACTCCAGTAGATTCTTAATTATTACTTATATTGCAATAAATACTTGTACCTCATGTTCCTTGGTTCAGTAAAACACGCTTTATAATGAATTGATGCTTAAACATATATATTACTTATAGTGAAGTGATTTTCATTCCCTGTGGCTTTAAAACATATTGTGAACCTTATAGATATAACGAATTATGTTTGTAACAAAGCAAAATGTCCATTCTTGGCACTTCTTTATATGTGTGTTCACTGTATTTCACCTTTTTGTGGCATACAAAACAAAGTCAAGACTGGAGACCAACGTCTTAAGGTTATAAGAATGCAGAAGAGAATGCCAGGACATCATGAGAATGACCAAGTAGAATTTTTTTGTACCATGTATAGAGGTAAAATAAAACAAGATTCATGTATGTGTCAAATAAATTACATCCAGATTTTATTCTACTTGCCTTTCCAGAAGATTTAACTCCCTTGCACAAACACAGAAACACGACAATCCAAGCCACAGCCAAACAGATAAGGAGCTCCCAGCGAATAGTGCCCAAGTCCTCAATTCCTTTTGTGATTTGTAACACTTCATTCCTGAAATAATTCATATTTTATTCAAAGATTGGCTACTTCAAAGTTCTGACTTTCATCATATTATACACTGTAAATGCACATGTATTCATCTTCTATCTTTTTTTTATAAATTACATGTAGAACAATATAAAATGGTTCTTGTTTATTTTTTGCTTAATATGCTAACTCATTATATCACCCAAATTATCAAATATGTAGTCTGGACTTTTGTTTCAAAACGTGTTCAATCATACTTCAAAAAGGTCATAAGATTAGAAAATGGGGTGCTTAGTTTAAAATGAATACAAGTAGGGACATAGGCTACATTGGGTTGATTCAGCATCTTTAGTATTTTTGGAATTCTTACTGCCAGAACTCTTCGCTAGCTGTGACCTTGTTAGACGCATTTGATGCCGACTCATTCCTTGTTAAGTTTGCTAAAGTCAGCGTTATGTCTGAGGAGAAGTTCGTGATGTTTATATCAGAGACATTGTAGTCAAGTGTCCCATTTACTGTAGCATTGGTCTGCACACTTTCAACGCGAATGTAACATTTCTCTGTGTTCCATTCATTATTGCACGTACTCCACGGGAGAACAGCTTTGAACGAATGGTACAGAAAATAAATCGTCCAGGTTATGATGATGTTGTAGTAAACACAAACAATGCCCGAGATAATGACCATACCATAGCCCACACCTGCAAAACATAAAAGTAAACAACAGTGAATGCAATATTGTTTTTAATATTTAATTAAATAAAATTTTCAAGACCTTCTTATGATATGTAATGTTTAATTTCATGCACTTTTCATCCTTACATAATGCTAACATACTTCAGTCATTTTTCATATTCAGCTCTAACATATATGACAGAAATTTTGCCATTTTCTCCTTAAAGTTCAAGAAACACATTAAAGTAAATGTAGATTAATTAATTTCTTTCTTTTTTTTATCCTTCTGCCATATCAGGAAAAAAACTCGTTTATTTACTTAAAAGCAGTAATTAATTAAACAACTATAAATATTTCCCCATTATGCTGTGAAACTAACATGACAGTTTCCTTAACGTATCATTAAACTTGGGTTGTGATATTTTTGTTTTATAATTTTCCCACAGTTGTTATACACTTTAATTTTCATTTTGAAAAATCTTAAATTTAGAGTTACCTTGCACATTTAGTGCATTTTATTAGTTTTAAGCTTGCAGGACTCAGACTGGCGAGGGGTTTGGACTTTGAACGTCAAAACGCTCAAATACGAAATTGAATACACCAGAATAAAATACAGATGTTATAAAACAAAGACATACTATGTACCTTTGCAGTTATCTAACACTTTTTATTTTTGCTGTTGAGATCTTTACATTATTGTTTTTTCATTAAGTTTAGAGTTACTACACAAACAGTATACACTTATTTCATGACTACGAGGGGAACAGTCAAACTGTTGTCCCGAGGTAATGGGGAAGACCTGGGAAACTGTTGCCCGAGGCCGAAGGCCGAGGGCAACAGTTTCCCAGGTCTTCCCCATTATCGAGGGACAACAGTTTGACTGTTTCCCGAGTTGTCATGAAATAAGTGTTTTATTACCTAACCAACTATATAATTTCTTAAAGTAATGATATCGACATAATAATCAATGGCTTTTAAAATACATCGACAAATGTTTGTACATGTATTATTTTTTAAAAACAAACTAAACAAGATGAATATTAATCAAATTCTCACACCGATTGGTGTTCAGAAAAATTAATGGATGTGATATTATCATGCACTAATAAATTAAAAAAAAAACGTAAACAACATAATGATGTCTTGAAGATTTGAATATTACACGTTTATGGCAAAGACCTATACTAAGTGAAAGTGGCCTACATTTTTCTCAAATTACCCCAAGAAAAGGTGTTCATGGCCTCTTCTTTGAAATGATATTAAATTGATTATATATCAGGATTACTTTTCAGATGATAATTTCAAATTGAATGAAAATGCTTTAATTAATACATAATTTAATATTAAAGCTGTAAAGTACGGGGAATTAATTATGACGTCATAATGGAACAGTTCAGCCATGCAACAGTTCATTCTGTGACCGGGTAAACAGTTTTGACTGTTTCATGATTTGCAAAAACATTAAAAAGAATCAGGAAACAGTTCAAAATGCCTTATTACAATTTATATAGTAGGTTAGGTAATAATATACATTAACCAAAGCTGACGTTTATTTGTTGTTTTGCATAAGATCAATATAGAAAACCTCAGTAGTAACTAGCAAGTCAGGATCAGAATCATATGCCAAAAGAACTTAAATGTCAAGATCCCTGTCTGTATCTGGCTGTTTTTGTCATGAACTATACATTTGAAATGCCCTATCATCACTCACATGATAACATTATATATTTTCTACCAGCAAAAGCTGACATTTGAAAAAGCTACATATCTTCCTGCTGACAATTTAAATAGTTGTGAACATTAATGTCGGATGTGTTTGCTTTAGCTTTCAACTGGACATTTTATTGCCAAAAAGATAAAGATTTAAAGTTTTATACATCAGTAATAGCCACCTTTTACAGTAGGAATGTTCTGTTTTAAGAAAGTGCTTCACAGTCATGCACATGTACACTGACAGTAATACATATTAATGTTCAAAGTAGTCAAACCCTGTTATCTCGTACTCGAAGGGACCAAGAAAATACTTTGAGATAACCAAGGATTCGAGATATCCAGGGTAAAATACTTAAGGAATAAGCAGTTGGGACTTCAAAATCCATGGTATTTGAGATATCTGTGTTCGAGATACCAATCGAAGCTCAATTGTATAAATAATATAATTTATTCATTCTTTTCATTGCATAGCACCATGATTAACCTGAGTACCAGAAAACATGTACATTATACACTTTTAATATATTTATCTGTAACTGAGTGATGAACAAATGAACAATTAAAGGTATATGCATTCCTAACTTTTCATCAAAATGTGAATAACATGTACCAAACAAGAATTTTACACAATGATATATCATAATTTTTTTGATTTCACTCATGATCAGTTCAATGTACATTTGATGTATGCCAAATATGAAGAACTGTATTGAGTACGGTACTTAGATTTTTGTCCTCTTGGAACTTGCACTTCCCAACATACACACAAAGATTTCAAATATTTTTGATTATTTTTATCACAAAAACAAACATTCATATTGACTGTTTGCCAACTCTGTTAAGCATTATATAATAAAATTCACAGGTGTTTAAAAAGGCATACAATATATTGAATGTTTGCTGAAATTTTTCAATAGAACTATATCAGAAAATGAGATCTCATTGATTCTACAGAAAGCTCACAAACACTCCAATATCTGTTGTTCTGAACTTTGCCCTTTACTCTTTATAATCGGAGTTTAATGGTTTTAATTCTTATTTGTTCTTGTCCCTATTCATGACATGATTCAAATCTTTTTTCAGATCTTAAAATGGTTAAATGCAATTAAACCTTCTTAAACTTTGACAAAGCCTATATCCAAAAATGTGTGCAGAAGATCAGAGTTGACTTAAGGACATACGCAACGTACCTTACCTACTGATAATTTTTCAAGATATTCTTAATTTAAGATTATAGTGCCTTCAGAAGTTCGTAGACAAAAAATCAACATGTATACCAGGGGTTTTGAAAAGATACCAATTGATGAAAATTCTTGTATAATTCAAAGAAAAATATACAAAAATTACTAAACATATATTCTAGATGTTTTATGTATCCAAACTTGTTTTAGAAGAAGTGTACAACAGCATATATAGACATTAAAATGTAGCACACAGATCCTTTAAGTATTGGAACTCTTCAACTCCATTGAAAAAGACAATAAAGTTCAAACTACGTTGCGTATGTCCTTAAGTCTTTACAATTATAATCCTACATGAGAACCTGTTACCATGGTTACATTGTCCGGCATTTCCCTATACTTATCTGAGCTCTTCTTCCTTTTCTCTCTGAACCATTAGCTGATTAGTGTCAATTAACATTTTTCCAAGAGTTTTAGACTGTTTTTCCTCCCAAAGATCATCAATAAATTAAGTTCATTTACAGTTTACTCTCATTAAAATCTAGCAAATAAAGCAATATGAGGAGCATTTTTTGAAGGACAATATTATCAGATTACATACATACATGTAATACTTGTATAGATCAAAATTAATTAAAATCAATAAAGTTTTTCAAGGGTTGGTAAAATGGTTTATTAATATATTAATTTCTGCATCAATTTTACTCTAATTAAGTATATCACCTATACAGGAGAGCATTCCACAGTGTCCAAGAATTGTGGAACAGACTTAGGAGATCCTGACACCCCCCCCCATCAGTTTTGGATTTAACTGTGTTTGCTATAAACATATACTATATGTTTATGGGTTAACATGGTTTACTTTAGAAGTCTGTTTGATTATTGGAGTTCACTTAATAATTGCCAATTTATTTATCAATACGGGGGAAAGGGAATATTGGGTCTGGTTAATAAATATTTATATCTATTTAAGGAATAACTGTCTAATTTTTTGGATTCATGATGTGATCAATCGATTGGCTTGCGTGATAATTTGCATAAACGCCGAAGGCGTTTATGCATAAAATTATCACGCAAGCCAATCGATTGATCATCGTCATGAATCCAAAAAATTAGACAGTTATTCCTTATATTTACATGCTCCTGATTCTGCAAATTCCCGTGCTAATAGCCCCGCTTCTGTCTCTATTTGTCCCGCCCCGCACGTGATTTTTTTTAACCGCGCCTATCGATGAACCAGTGGATTTATGTAGAAATAAAGTATTTTTACAATTTGTAATTTTATCTCGGACAAAGACATTGGAAATGTAAATATTAATGTGTAAAAAGAGTACCCTTTTTACATAATCAATTGATAGGTTTGCATATTTAAAACCTGTGATTAGGGGCTATATAATAAAATTTCAGGTGCGTGCATGTTCAAAATATTTCAACGATGACAGTATATAAATATATATAATTGAATAGGTATATATAAATTTATACCTCTGTGAATTTTTTTTTCATAAAAATTACCTATAAACCTGCTACTTTCTCTAAACAGCCCCTACAGTGGAGTAAGTGCTCATGTTATTTGCCTATGGTGAAATGGTCATCAAACTTTTCACCGCTAACATTCTACATTTGTATTTCCTTCGAGTTTCATCTTTGAACTCTTCTGATTTTATTCGGATCAAGATATGGCAGAAGTTAAGTCAGCTTAGGTTTAATAAAAAAATCTATTTACTGACTATTAATTCATACAAGTGTCCTCATAGGTAGTAAATAGGTGTATTATATAATTATATATTAGCTCTCTGGTTTGCCTGTCTGAATTTTCTCAACCAGAGAGATACAGTTCTGCAGCTATGTGTATCAGTAATGATTCTCTAATATTAAAACTAATGTCCAAATAGGTTCAAATCCAACTGCATGACCAAGCATTGTAAAAACCTTCAATTTAAGGCGACGCTTTTTTGTCGCTTGCTTTAGGTATTATTACTTATAATCAGAAACAGATGGTTTTTATATGTCTCTGTTATCATGGTTATAATATATGCATTCCCTCTCTTAAATAATGGTACATGGACCTCAGAATGCGAATATTTAAAGCTGACATTCCAAGGCCATACAGGGCTGTTTGGAACCATTTA